CTGTGGCAGGAGAATCACTTGAACTCAGGAGGTGGAGGTTGCAGTGAGCCGAGATCATGCCACTGCACTCCAGCCTGGACAACAGTGATACTCCATCTCAAAACAAATAAACAAACAAAACAGAAAAACCTTCATTCTCCATTATGGCTGAATAAGATTCCATTGTGTGTTTGTTTAGCCATTCATCTGTTGGGCTGTTTTCACCACTGACTGTAAATAATGCAGCTGTGACTGTTGGTGTATCTGTCATGTTAGTAGAAGTATAAAGTTCATCTTGTATAATGCAGCAGAAAGAAAGGTGGGATACAGGATGATACGTAGTTTTAACTCAAGTTTAGGAGTTCAGAATTGAGCCTTAGGGAATGAGTGGGGGATATCCCCCAAAGGATTTTTTAGTTGTGTTATGATGGCACCTTTAAGAATGACAAATGAGCAGCCTAAAGAACTCGGGGCACAGGGGGCGGGGGTCGGGGTGGGGTGGTGGTAGTAGATGAACGGAACCTAGAGACCAATTAGCAGCCGATCAACAGTCCAGGTGAGAGATATGAGGGCTTAAAGTAGGATGGTAAAGGAAGGTTACATGTAACGCATCTTTCACATTGCAAAGGAAATAAAGGGGTCGAAACTAACCCCAGGGTTTTAAGCCTGTATTACTTACTCTGTTACCTCTGCTATGCCCAGACTGAAGAATTAATGACCTTGAGAAAGAAAGATATTATGAAGTGGTTAAGACTTCCATTATTCACAAATGGTGTATCTAGTGAAATTTACAACTTGACTCTTTGAAATAGGGCAATTCCAGCTTCCAAGACCACTTTCAAATATACTTAAAGTTTAGAGCTCAATAATAACAGACCTCAACCGGATGTCAACTGAACCAGGAGGAGGCTGACATCAGTACACGTGAACTAATGTGTAACCCCTTCTAATCAGAGTTGAACCCAACCCGTCCTGTCTAATGCCAGATCTCTGGGAGAGACCATATTTACTGAGGGGGTGACTCCTAGAGACTGACTCAGTGACAATGGCATAATCATGAGAGCTGCTGAGGGACCCGAAATAGGAACTGTTTCCATGGGGAGCCACTCCCCCACACTTGCTGGGCTTCAGAGAAAACTCAGAAAAAAACTGTTGCTTCAAATTTATCTTAGCAAAGTAACCTTTATCAATTTGTTCATTCATTCATATAAATATTGAGCACAACTTATGGAGGCACTATGTTTGGATGTGGGCCATCTGTGAGACCCATGGCATGCAGAAGAGATTCATTCAAAGAATTGGGCGGATAAATAAAAATTACAATCATGAAATTTTCTACTAAAAATGTTGCTTTGAAAGTATCTAATAGGGAAAGCTGATCTGTAAAATCAGAAAGGTAACATTTGAGCTCAGATCTACAAAATTTGGGGCCCAGTAAAACAGGAATGAGAATAGTTCCAGCACTTCACCAGTGCAGTGGAGGGGACAGGGATCCCAGAGTAAGCGGACACACTGTTGCATCTGTGGCTGGAGAAGTAGGTGGGGAGCAGCCAGTCCATGCAAGGCTTCAGGCCAGTTTAGAAGAATTGAGGCCTTTCTTGGCAAATAATTTATGGCTAAGTCCTCAAAAGCAATTGCCACAAAAACTAAAATTGGCAAGTAGGACCTAATTAAACTAAAGAGCTTCTGCACAGCAAAAGAAACTACCAACAGAGTAAACAGGCAACCTACAGAATGGGGGAAGTATTCACAGACTGTGCATCTGACAAAGGTCTAATGTCCAGAATCTACAAGGAACTTAAATAAATCCACGAGCAAAAAATAACCCCACTAAGAAGTAGGCAAAGGACATGAACAGACAATTCTCAAAAGAAGACATACAAGTGGCCAATAAACACATGAAAAAATGCTCAACATCACTAGTCATCAGAGAAACGCAAATCAAAACCATAATGAGATACCATGTCACACCATTCAGAATGGCTATTAAAAAGTAAAAAAAAAAAAAAAAAAAAAAAAAAAAAAAAAAGGTCACGTGCGGTGGCTCACTCCTATAATCTCAGCACTTTGGGAGGTCAAGGCAGGCGGGTCACCTGAGGTCAGGAGTTCGAGACCAGCCTGGCCAACGTGATGGAACCCCGTCTCTACTAAAAATACAAAAATCAGTCGGGCGTGAGTGGTACGCACCTGTAATCCCAGCTACTCAGGAGGCTGAGGCAGGAGACTCACTTGAACCCGGTAGGCAGATGTTGCAGTGAGCTGAGATAGCGCCACTGCACTCCAGTCTGGGTGACAGAGCAAGACTCCATCTCAAAAAACAAACAAAAACAAAAAGAATGTTGGTGGGCTGCGGAGAAAAGGGAACCCTTATACACTGTTGGTGGGAAGGTAAATTAGTTCAGTCACTGTAGAAAGCAGTTTGCAGATTTCTCAAAGAACTAAAAATAGAACCACCATTCAACCCAACAATCCCATTCCTGGGGATATACCCAAAGGAATATAAACCATTCTACCATAAAGACACATGCATGCATACGTTCATCACAGCACTATTCACAATAGTAAAGACATGGAATCAACCCAGGTGTGTCTATCCATGGTGGACCGGATAGAAAATGTGCTGCATACACACCACGGAATACTACACAGCCATAAAAAATGAACAAAATCACATCTTGTGCAGCAACATGGATGCAGCTGGAGGCCATTATTGTAAGTGAGCTAATGCAGAATCAGAAACCCAAATGCTGCATGTTCTCAGGTATAAGTGGGAACTAAACCTTGGGCACACACGGACACAAAGATGGGAATAACAGACACTGCAGACTACGAGATGGGGGAGGGAGGCGAGGGTTGAAAAACTACTTATTGGGTACTATGCTCATTACCTAGGTGATGGGTTAAATCATACCCCAAACCTCAGCATCATGCAACATATCCATGCAACGAACTTGCCCATGTGCCCTCTCAATCTAAAAGTGGAAGAAAAAAAAAAAAAGAATTGAGGCCTTTGTACTATGAGCAATAGAAAGCCAAAAACACATTTTAAGCACAAGGGTGACAAGGTTACATTTGTATTTCTTGAAAGATTGCAAGCTACAGTGTAAGGGACTGGGATGACGTGGGTAAGAATGTGGGAACACGAGTCAGTGAGCTACTGGAATAATCTAGGTATAGTGTCCTGGCTAGATTTAAGAGACAGTGAAGAAATGTCATTGGCAGGCTGGGAAAATGATAGGCGAGAAAGACACTGGTGCCCAAGTCTCCCAGGTTTCCGGCTCATGTAACAGGATGAAGAGAACACCCATATGAACGTTGTTTTTATTCACAGCAACTTCTTTGTAAGGTTTGCTCTTAGAAATGACCTCTTGTTATCAAGTTAGATGTCTTTTAATGTCCCTGAAATTTTGTGGTATTAAACCAAGTGGAAGGTGTTCTGTACCAGCAACAGTGGAGTGATGTCGAGATAGTGCATGTCAAAGCCCCTCGGAGCCAGTCTTTCTGCTGTCCCATCCCCATTTCCTGAGCAGAGCATATGCGTGCATGCATGCGTGTGTTAACAGCCACACTCATGGGGGAGGATCAGATCCTCTGTCACCCTCCTTCAGAGCTACATAGCTCTGATAAGAACTATTTGTCAAAATAAATGTCATTTCTGAGAACACAATTTTACATGCACTGATGGCCTGCCACAAAAATTTTTCTTTTTTTTAATCGAACAGTCCAATTTTACTACGAGTAAACGCCCATATCAGTTAATCTGAAGCAATAAGAAAAAAGAAAAAAAAAAAAAAAAAAAGCATGGAAGGAACATGTAACACTCATTTGTAAGTTAGAAGCAATTTCAAATTCGCATTCCAGACTCCATGTTGATTTTTTAAAAAAACTAGGGTGGACACTGACTTAACAGAGCAATACGTATGCTGGGAAGAGGTGGATATAATGAAGGAAATGGATAACAGAGGCAGTGATTGTTAAAATAGGTCATGAGATTGTAGGCTGAGCAACCCAGCAGCCCTGTTTTATAGCAGAGCCTTGTTTCTTATTTAAAAAAAAAAACCTAAAACTTCGAAGATGCGATTCCATGATGTATCTTTTAAAGCCTTGTCAGGCAACCAAATCTTTAAATATATGTATTTTGTTCCCATCTTCAATCCCTCAAAGGGTACAGACACTGCACACTGCATATTCTGTGTGGTTTTTTTTTTTTTTTTAATCTTGTAAAGACAGGATATCTCTACAGTGCAGATGATGAGGTCTTTGATGTCATGCAAATATTACTTCTGGACTAAACACATACAATACTGAAATTATTAAACATACAAACTTAGAGCTTTCAGTGCATTTGCCATTTTTATTTCGCTATGCAGAAACATACATTCACCATGGGCTGTGATGCAGGTGACTGTTTAATGGAGAATCTCTCTTTGTGAAGGCTATTTATAACTAACACTAAATAGTTTTAATTACAGTGGAAATTCTGTACAGTTTAAGGCTTGGCTCTGAACTAGAATGTAAATATGGACCAGATTTGAAAATAAAACACTTTCTTTTCAAGTAAAAGAAGAAAAATTAATTAAAAAATACACGGAAAAAGAAACTAAGAAAACAAAGCCACAGGAAGCTCAGCAGGTTCTCCTGAAGTGAAATTTCATAATATTGGGAACTAACAAAAATACAGGTTTTTCTTCCCAAAATAATGACAATTTACATATTTAGGACTTGTTAGGGAGCTCTGAGAAGCTCTCCGGATTGAACACAGACCAAAGCAAACAACGAGGAAGAAATCGCATTAATATGCTAAAATCAGTACTACCTTATAACAAATTAAATGAGATACACAAAGCAAGATTGGAAGCGTTAAATATTTCCAGAGGGTCAGAGAGTCATTAATGTTTATGGGTGAGAGTAATAAAACCAGATGAAACAAGTACAAGTTGTTTACTGAATAAACTTGGTTATTGGCACATCTAACCTGGGGAAAATCTGACACACCGGACGGACCTAGACAGCTTCTAGCATTTGAGGGTAATCTTCGCTAATTGTAAACAAAAGGTTTGTTACCTAAGAAATTGCAATTTTGTTTAGACTTTAATAATAATAAACTATGAAAGGCATGAATTGTGTATGTGTTACATGAGATCACGGTTTATATTGTTGGTTGTGAACGTGCAGGTATAGCTGAAAACTGAGACATTTTGTGAAAATTAAAAATGCTGCTCTTTTGTAATTTTATCGTTGCTTCATGCATTATCAGTTTAGTGATGCTGAATCAGATTGCTTTATTATGGGAAGATCTCTCTGCCAGTGTCTTTATTAATGGTCAAGGTCAATTCTTCTGGACTGAAATTTTCCATGGACAGATACGAGTCAGTTGGGTTAGAAGAGGGAATTCCATATAGGCTCTGGTTTTCCTAACGGTTTGCATGACTGCATTCATGTGCAAGCTAAGTTATTCCTGCAAGAAAGAGATGGGATTAGTTACTCATTTGAAAACAACGGAAAGATTTTCTCAGATCAAGGGCACAAAAAAAGTATCTTGGAGGTTCGAATGCTCATTTGGACAAGAGGCCACGACATTCCAGCGTTAAGTCACTGCCAATTATATGCTTTCTCTTAAGTAATTACAACAATGCCCACGTGGCTGAAGCTCATGGAAGAATTTTTTTTTTTTTTTTTTTTTTTGCTGTCTTCCAAAATATATTATTCATTTGAGTAAAATGAGTGGTTTTTGTATTTCTCTTTTAAGAGATGCCACACATCAATTTGTTTCTTAAACCAATGTTAGAGAACTTACTGATACATTAAATCTCTTAAACGTTTTATCACATCACCAAGTTGTGCAAGTCGCTCGACTGCTGCATTCAGCATTCAAAGCCCGCTCAGAAACGCTGACGGCCCCATGAGATCTTGCATGGCAGGTTAGTATGCATGACAAGTCTGTGTACACACAGATGATACAGTCTGCTCATGGCGCTGGCCAAGCAACCACCGGAAAGGCATGTGTTTTCTAAAGGACCACAAGGCTGCATTTTTTGCTTCCTCCTGAGACAGTGCTACACTAGGGAGAAAAATCATCCCAAAGAATACAGGAAATGTAAGACATCCAAAAAGAAAGTGAGTGCTCAGCTTTCAAATCAAAAAACAAAACCAAAGACCAAAGCATAAACAGGCTATAATCAAACATAGTTGAAGAGAAAGCTTACGATGGGATAATGTTGCCCTCGGAAGGAGAAAAGGGTATGTATTATTCCCCTAGTATCTGGAACACACAAATTGAGCCTCTCAGAGCAAAACTGCCTTAGTTCCAATTAGGCCACATGGCAAGTAAAATCAAATTTGACATTACAAATTTGGATAATGAAAGAGTGCAGGCCATGGAATAAAAGGGAACGCCAGGAAGACCACACAAGCATAGACTCTGCTCTTCCTTTATCCTCTGACTGGCAGTGCATGCAAAAACTCCACAAGAATGGAAGCTCTAAATGTGAGAGAAACCCACAAACCAATTCTCCATCCTCTTGGTAACCAGCCCGATAAATGCCAGTGAGAGAACAGAGGAAAGGAGGGATCAGGTGAAGGATGAGAGGGAAGTACCCCATGCCTCATGCCAGCCTAGGCAAGCCTAGAGAATGGGCGTCACCTCTTACCTCTGGTCAATCCTCTCCATCTTCTGGTGTGATCTCTGTCTCTTTATGGACCACTACTTTGGTCACTGACATGTCAGGGTGCTGCTCTTTGGCCTCTTTAATTGCCTGAGCCAGCGCCTATCCCCGGGAAATCACAGAAGGGCAGAAACAAAAAGGAGGTGGAACATGCATGATCAGTGGCGAGGTGGAGACTTACGAGCTAGATCTATATCCACAATTTACAAACGAGGTACAATGATTACAAAAGGAATCATAAATCACATATTGGAAAGTTAATTCGGGATTTTTTTCAGAATACATGCTGGACTAGAGGAAGAGCATTGAGACTGTAGGGCCAACAGGTTTTTCTTTGTTTCTCTGCCAGGGTATTTACCATCTCACACATACTACCTGGTCATGGTCAATGTCTGCATCCCCTGTGATGACTATTCGCTTCTCGATTCTTGTCTCTGAAATGCCCCCTTTCACAGTCTAGAAGACACAAAGAGAAGCTTTATGAATTTACTCAATGGGAGAAACCATCATGGGTCAGTGGGGGGAAATGGCAGAAGATGCTGACAGGGCATTAAGTGACATCATTCATTCTTTGAGAATTGAAATTAGAATTCTATGGCAGTTATTTAACATTTTTAATTCCAGAGGTGAGGACAGAGTGGAGGCCTTTGGGTCTGGATGGCCTGTGTTTCTGGAACACCTACCACACGCCAAGGGCCGGAGTAAGCATTAAGCTTAGGATATCAGAATGTATACTCCTAAAGGGGAACTCGGCCATGAGGACAAGTGCATCAGAAATCTAGGGGTTGTAAAAGCTGCCCTTGCAGCTATCCCGGCATCCTGAGCGTCAAGCCACCTTGTGCTTGTGCAGCCCAACCTGTGAGGAGTTCTGAACAAGCACCTTCCTCCAGCTCACTCTCAAGGAATCCTCTCCTGGGTTCTCACTCCACTTACTTTGGTGATGTGCGTAGTGGTGGTGGTACTGGTGGTTTCAGATGTGATCGTCTGTGCACTCATCAGCACGCCCGGCTCCAGATCTGTGCCTGGATCGACCTAAGGCGGCAGAGGAATAGACCCCTCATCCAGGTGCTCACACCTGCTCTTCAGAAGTTGGCTACGTTAGTTAAGTCATTACGACAATTTCACTATCTCCTATTACATAATCGATGTGGTCTTCAAAGTCTGAGAGCTGCTCCCAAGAATAAGAACTAAGGGCAACCAGAGATCACTGTCATTAAAAAAACTAAGGTTTCAAAAATGTGAGTGGTGGATGGGTGAGTGAATATTTTTCTTTCTCTGCAGCTAGGGAAACAGGTTTTTGAGGCTTTTTCTACACTTCGAGACACATAAAGACTTTGTCAAGTCACCTGCTGCTCCCTGATCACTAATAAAATGACCATTATTGCATCACTTTTAATAGAGATGGTCTGGTTGCTGGATCCTCTAAGTCTCATGAATTAAATATCGTGCAATTCTATGTAAACACACTAGGCCACACTAGAGGGGTGAAATGAGGAGCCAGGGCTCTGTCTTCACAGAACATCTAACCTGTGATGATTCATACGTGATGGTTTTGGTTTCGGTGTGAACTACTGGCACTTCCTTGGTAGAAATTTCTAGCTTTACTCCTCCTGGTGAAACACTGCCAAAACTGATGGTTTCCGTCTTCACTGTTGAGGACTGTGCCAAAGGGAAGTAAGCAGAGTGGCTGTTAGTTTGCATGAACACACTGTTTTCTTCCTTTTCCTCTCTGGTAGTTATAAGCACAGGTTAGTATGCAATAAATGTTTATGTGGAGAGTAAGCTGGGGAACAAGGCATACAACATGCACATGTCCAACAGTCTCCTGGACTCTTATAGCATTTCTATATGAAATGCTCTAAGTAAAGAAAAACATTTTAAAGCCAATAAGAAAAAAGTAAGTTCTCCGTTTAATAACTTCTTAGAAAGAAAAAACTAAAAATGAGACATTAACTCCCCCAAATACTTCAGGAATCTCAATAAAAGAGGATAAAGAATAAAGTTCTGGCATTTAGGACCTGGGCAAGCATAGTTTTGGTGCTTCTGGAAAAGTGCACTGATCAGAAATAAATGTATCACATTTTCTAGTATCTTGGCCAACTTTGCATTTCCCAACTTTACTGCCAATTATAATAATTTCAGTGAGAGTAGAAACCGTTTCCTGGAGATATGCTATTAATAATTAAGAGATATGTTTGCATGTGACCCCAAAGTTGGAAATCAGCATGGAGACTCCTAATAGGTATGAAAGAAGGAAATGAGAGGAGAAACACACCGCACATGGGAGAGGCCGAAAATTAAACTTAGCTCCACTTTTATGCTGTTCTAAATTTCCAGGCATCCTATCTCAGTTTTATTTTAGTGATAAAAGTAACATTAACTACTAGTTACCTCAAAATGAGGTTTTTGTTCCAAAGTTTCTGAAACGTGGATGGCTGCACTCTGCTCCTCTTGTCGCTCACGGGAAGCAGCGGCTGTCTCTTCCTGTTCCAGGACAGCTTTAGCGACCTCCTCTCCTCCTTCCTCTTTAGCCCCCTCGGTCAAGGCAGAGCCTTCTTTCCCTTTAATGCCCGTGAATGCGGGCTGTGCTGCAGCATCCCCGCTGTCTCCCACCGAGTAAGAAGCATCCCCACTCGCGTGCACCACATGCCGCTCCTCCACCAACACGGTCTCCTGCACCACCTTCTCAGTGCTAAGCGGCAGGCGGTGCACGGTGGGCTCCGTCTCTATTCCGCTGGACTCCGTCTTGGTTTCCATTTTCTGCATGGGAAGAGATTGTGGCATCAGTGTGACCTTCCCTCAGCCGCAGGTCAGAAAATAACAAAAGCCGCTACTCGCCAGGATGTCTAAAGCCAGCATCAAGTGCTTATCACCAGAAACACTGACAAAAAATATCAATCAGCTTTCATTCCTCCCACCGGAATCTCTGATGCCTGCCCCTGCCACTGCTGCATGCACTGGAACCTGTGCAGCGGCTTCAGGATATCGCAAAACAAACGGAAGGCAGGATAAAGTGCAATTAACAAAACAAAAACCAAAGCATTGCTGCGCATTCACGTTGGTTTTGGCTGCTTTCTTAGACTCAACTGGTGAGATATAATGCCTTTAGAAATTAAATGCCATTAAAAAGTCTCAATATGATCGCCTTTTGAATATCTGAAGTACATTCTTGAGATGCAACTAAAGGCATGTAACAGATATGCCAAGCAGGCACAAAGGACAGTAAAGTGAAGACACCTTTGAGATGCTGAAGGCAAAAGCCAGTTGGATGCAACACACACACACACACGCCCAAAAAAGGGGAAGGAAAGGCACGTGGGCACATTCAGAAACACCACGGACGAAAACAGATGGCCACCTGAACCCAGCTTTGAGAAGTAGAAGTAACCCCTCCTATGAATTCTGTTGGTTTTCGCGCAGACTCTAATAAACTGAAGATTTCAGAGCCATCCATGAGCTTTTCCCCAGAAGACTGCTTAGTCTGAGTGAACAAAGAAAGGCAGAGTCAAGCACAAAAGAGAGACACAAACTCAGGCACATAAACATTCACAGCTTGTTAGACAAAATCGTAGGCAGAGACAGGAAGGAGGAAGAATGAAGGAATCTCAGAGAGGTTGGAAACAGAAAAGAATGGGAAATAAAACAGAAAACTGGGGTGACCAGCTACTCTTGTTTGCTAAAGCAGAGAGAGTTATTAGGATCAGGGTGGCGCCGATCTAAGCAGATAATTTTTTTTTCCCCTTCATTGCAAGCCACAGCAGCACTATCACATCTTGGGGACGGGGAGCTGGAAATAAAATGGAAAGTGTTTTAATGCTGACTTTGCACTGCAGTATTGATTTAACCATGAAAAAAAATAAAAAAGCTGGGTTGGCTGCTGTCAACATAAAGCCAGGCAGCAAGAGAAACGGAAAGGTTTGGGGTGGAAGGGGACTGCCTCAAAAACTGTCATGCTGGAATTGCAAACTGTGGCCCCAATGAGCGACACTGGTTACCACTACTCGGGAGGCGGACGACTCAGTAACGTAATGAGCAGTAGCAACGGTAAAGGCTGGTTCCTGGGAATATCTCCATTCGGACAGGCTCTTCCTTCGGGGTCCAAAGAGGCCCACTTTTAAGACCTCACTCTCAGGCACTTGCTCTGTTTTGCTGAAGCGTCTGCCTTCCAGGCCAGGAAGGACAGCCACGTCCTTCCCCTGCTGTGGAGCCTTCTCGAGGTCATCTTCTTCAGGACTCTGCCGGCGAGACTCAGCCTCTTTGATGGGCGCCAGGGATTCGGACAATTTCCGCTTTGTCGTCTGCACTTCGGGTCCTCTCTTGGATTTCTCATCAGCGAGGGCTTCCAGGACCTCATACTCCAGGCCGGGAATGATCTTCACGGACTCTGACATTTCTTTCTCCATTTTCTGAAGTGCTTCCATAGTGGAGGGCTGCCCCACTTGCTCGCCCTCTTTAGCTTTCCCAGTCATAGTAACAATCCTGCCGGAGACAGTGTCATAGGATTTTCCTAGAGTGTATATTTTCTGTTTGCTGTCTTCTTTCAGTTGCATTTCTCGAGCCAAGTCTTCGAAGCTATGCATTTTAATAGTGCCAGATTTTAATATGTCGGCTGGGAGGTCACCAGTTCTACTGCTCACGGTCACCACCTTGTAAGTCACAATCTTTTTCGAATCACCATCAACTACCTCAGTTGGTATTTTGTCTACAATAACCCAATCCTCTGTGCCCTATATTTGAAATATAAAAGCTAAATTAGAAATTCTGATGGTATCTCATTTCTAAAATAAGAACCCTTTAAGAAAACCAGGGCAAGTGCTACATGCAGGTCTGTGATGGAACTGTACAGTGTTCATGTTATTATCTAATAATTATGGCTGCAATCTCTTCTCCTCTGAAATGATAAACTAGAAACTTCAGCTCAGAATACATTCGGTAGGTAGAGCTGCAACTTACTTAAACTGGAACATACTATGCAGTACATTTTTTGAAGAACAGATTTGTTCTTATGATAAATTTTGGATCATTTTATATTTCAAGATTAAATAACATTATTGATGTTGTTCTACAAGTTACTTAGCTTTACGTGTGTGGGGATAAAAACTTTTCCTCGTTAAATATAATCTATACTTCATATACTATTGTTCTTACAAAGAACTTCCCGACATTCTACAAATTTAGGTAAGTATTTTCCATATTTGTAAATTGTGTTTCCTTATATAGAGAATAGAATCCATGATAGCACTTATTATTCAATAAATATTGAGTGTGACTGTGTTCAAGGCATTGTAATGAAATACTTCCCACAAAAGGGACACTATTAGAGCCTCTTGTAGTGATCTGTACACATTGTTCAAGTCTTACTGTTTTTTAAAGAGATGGGGTCTCCTTAATGTTGCCCAGGTCAGCCTCGAACCCTTGGGCTCAAGTGATCCTCCCATCTCAGCCTCCCCAGGAGCTGGGACTACAGGCACATGCCACTGTGCCTGCTCCAATCTTATTTACAAGTGAAGTTCATTGTCTCAGAAGTTTCTCTCTCACTTTCTCTAGTGTTAGTTCCAGTAAGGCAAAAGAAATGAAAGCTAAGAAACTTGTATTCAGGGAGGCAGAACACAATGTGACCAGGTAGATTAATAGCTTCACAGATTACAGAGGGAAGAGATAGCAAACCAGGCACAGGTGAGTGCCTTGATTTACGTTTTAAACTAGGATGTTTTCTAGAAACTTTTGTGTTTATTACAGCCTGAAAACTTAAATCTAGAAATACGTGTGCCTTCAAAAAAATCACTACAGGTTGATCTACATGTTATTGCTAGATTAAATGAAATGAATGGAAAGAATAACCTCTAGGGTTGATGGGACAGTTTTCTGGAAAATTATTTGACGAGAAGTAACCACAGAGTCAGCAGAGTCTCCTTCCTGCATTTTCTTTATCACACTTGGCTAGTGGGGAAACCAATAAGAATTCAGAACTTTCACAATCAATCAACATCATCTAAATTAGCACCACTCTACAGGTAAAAACAGGCAAGAAAACAACATTTCAGCAAGATTATTATTCAAAAGTAAGTCAATGACAACATACAGAGGAAAATCAGCTTGGATTAGAAGCCATAAAGAAATGATGCATAACTGCTAACTAAAATATTAAGAAAATTCAATTTTCCCTTCCCCAGAATCTAACTCCAAATTATGTACCTACCTTGGTTTTAAACAAGATAAATTTAAAAGGGAAAATAAAAACTAAAAACATTTTAATGACACTGAAGTCTGAAGACCAATTTCTTCTGGAAAATCCTTTATGTTTGGTTTTTACCTGAGACTCAAGGAATGGAGCGCTTCCTTGCTGCAAAAATATAACTGTTTCAGAAATCTCTGTTTCTTCTTGGGTCTGTTTGAATAAAGGGGGTTGGGTTGGAGAAGAGGAAGTAGACAGTTTCCAAAAAGGCAAGTTAGGAAGGGAGTTCTTTCATTGTATTCTCTCTATCTATCATCTCATATATCCTCATAATATTCATTCATTTTCTTCCTGAAGGAGTAAATTATTGTTTATGCATTTGAAAAATGATCTGAAACTACCTCAAAATTTAGTTTTTTCCAGAGTTCAGATTTTCTGAAACTTTGGGGTTAACTTCGGGGTTTATATAACTCAAATGTTCTTCATTTCTACAAACACAGAACATATAAGAACAATATAAAGGCATTTATTCTTGGCATTTAAACCATGTTTATGTTGGTATTAAAAAGTGAGTATTTAAAATAAAACATTAAGAAATTTTTTTAAAATTTAAGTTAGGAATTAAGCCTGACTTCTATTTCTGACAAGCATCTTACTGTATTCCCTATTTAGGTGCTGCCTGTTACAGAGTAGTGAAATGCACACAATGTCACCACATTAGCTGCTAATTTAAATAAACCCAGTTATACTTACATGGATTGATTTATTGTCCCACAAGAAAACAAAAAATACTCAATGGCTTTATTTGAACTTTTATAACATGGTTAATAATTTTTTAAAGTGAATTTCAAAATATCTTGCTGGAAAATTAAGTATATCAATTCATACTTTAACATAAAAAATTAAGAAATATTAAGTATTTCATGTTAGGAATTAGGTTTTTGCTTTTTAACTACTTTTTGTTTTTTTCTCTAGTATTAAATAGGCACAATTCAGGTGGCAATACATTAGCTACCAAGCCTAAGTTGAACCAAGCGTTCAACTTCACAGAGCAAGGACAGAAAGGATATTTCGGAAGATTAACTTAAAAATAACGATGGAAAGCTCAAAGTTTCCAGACAAATGAAACTTTTAAAATACATCTTATCATTACAAACAATGTAATTTTATGAGAACTATTTAAAATTTCTTTTTGTCTAAATATCTACCAGTACTACATTTAATCATTTGTTTGCAAGAGATTGTAGGGGAACATCGGAATATTCTGCAGGACCTACTGACAGATTTTGATAGTATCATTCTCAAATGGTTCTTTCTAATGAGAAACAAATAAGCCATTTTCAGAGGAGGGAAACAAAAACAAAAAGAAAAACAAAACAATCTCTGTCCCGCTGCATTTTGGAGGATGGTATTGGAAAAGATAAAATGTACCATGTGGAATCATTAAATGTGGATTTTGTTTCTTTTCCTTTTTTGTTTTCTTTTTTCTTTTTTTTTTTGCTTTTAATCATAGCCTCTTTTGCAAACAGAAATGAAAAACAGCAAGGAAAGGTCAAAATTATAGGTAGTTTTCAGAATAACAGTGCTAGGTCTCTAATTATCATCACTGAGCTAAATATTATTCCTAAGATAAAAGCTTCACAAAACCCCCAGCAAAACAGTGGTTTTCAGCATATCCTGGTGTCTGAAACCAACTAATTTAAAAAATGCCTATGTCTTATAATTGAAAATATTAACAGTGTCTACATTCCAAACTGTGTATGTCCAATAACATAAACAGGTAACATAGGGAGTAGATTTTAAAATGTAATTCTATATATGGTCAACCTCCCAATATAGTTAGTCTAGTTAAATAGAGAAGTGAAGAGGTACTGATAAAGAAAAGGTGATCTAAAGATTCACTTTTATTAGGGGTTAGGATATAGTCAGATATATAGCCCAACCATTTCATTTAGTTACTTAACCATTATAAGTTATTAATCTTAATATCATAATTGGAAAACAAGGCCCTATACTGGCACACAAAAATTCATAACAGTGTCATTTCCTGTCGGGTGATTAAAGGTTTCTACAAATAAATTTTAGGGAATGGTCAAATTTGCAGATATAGAATTTGCAAATCATGGGAACTGACTATAGTAATCGTCTTGCTTAAGGAATTACTGTACAGTGAACACACCTGTAAAACTAGCACTCACATAAAAGAGAGGACAATATTGGCGCAGCATACATACCAGTCGGTACTGCTTTTTTATTGTGTTTTGGAAACTTTTGGTATTCAAGTAACCACTAAGGAATATAACTCTAACATGGACAAGGCTTAGATGCATCATGAAAGCCTGTCATGGGAAGGGTCTGTGGACAGAGGATGCACCTGGGCACGCTGCACATACCACATGCCTACCCTTCTACCCTTCCTATGTTTGGTGGGCCCTGTGTGTGGGTTTATTTGCCTATTTTCTAAAGCAAATGAGAATTAGATATTATTTGCTGCTTTGGGGCATCCTTGCTACTTGTCTGCTATTAACGCAAATATCTGAAACTTGAAACAATCGGCAATCAAATTTCCATTTTATATACGAAACAAACATAAAATTCTCAGGACATAATCATCATTATTAGCTTGCTGTATATAATTCTAACTATAATTTTCTTTGAATTGTTCATAAATTGGTAGCATTTTGTAGAAATAATTATTATAACAATTCAACTACTATAGATACAACAAAACAAAGAAAAAAGATGGTCACATTAAAACTCAAAAGATCTTTAGGTTTTTTTCTTCAAAATACCATTTTGTCACTGAGACAAAAAAAAAAAACAAAAACACAACCAACTAAGCTTTGGGACGTCATAAGTTTGGGGTCACCAAATCTAAGTTTCTTTCTGATTCTGACACAAAATAACCACTACTTTATTAGAGATGTCAATTTTAAAAATTAAGTTACATATTTCCATTTAGAAGTAACTGGATTTCCTTCTAAACTGGTTGATCACTGTTTAATTGAAGTGGGCTTTATTACAAAATAGAGTAATATCAAATTAGTAACTTACTTTAAAAAATATCCCCTCCAAAATAAAAATCTTTTGGTTATATATTTATAAACCAGTATGTTTTCTACGTGCATAACATACAAAGGATTAAAAAAAGGATAAAATTATCTTTTGTGCTTTTCACACACAAAAATAACAGAAACTATGGTTTTAATATAGAAATTGGCAATAATTTAGAGCAAAAGAACTTTCTGGTTTGCTCTGAAGGCTATCTACAGGGCCCTCGATTGGAGTATAAACTCGGTATCATCGATAACTATGAGGTCCTGGAGAAGAGTAGAAGAGAGGACAGGTCACTCTGCCTGGCCCTGCTGCCATAGGGAGCACAGCACCCTGACACCTAAAGAGATCCCTTTTCCCCTGGGACTTGAAGCTCCTTTGAGATGCTTTTCAGGGCTCCTTTGATAAGCAGAGTTAATCAGCCCTGCTTCTAACGAGTTCTTTATATCTAGTCAAGCTCTTTCTGCTATGTCTCCATTCACAGTGTGACAGAGCAGTGAGGGACTGCAAAACAACCCCGCGGACGCTGAAGGCAGTGAGGACACCAGCCTTTGCTCTTCTCCCGTTTAAATAACCAAACTACTTTGCCATTCTGCAGAGGGCATATTTTTCTTCCTTAATGATGTTGAAAAAATCCTTTCTTGGCCTTCTCCAGTTTTTCTGCACTAACACAGAAAAAGCATTAATATCCAGGGAAAGTTCAGTATATTCAAAACACTCCTTAAATTATTAACATCCTTGGGCTTATCAAATGTTAATTCTCTCACGTTTAGGGTTTTACAGATGTAAAAAAATTATCTTACTAATCTAACGACCTAGACTTATGAAGTTCCCTTTTTTATCGGCACCACCCTTTAAATTCTCTACGTTGTTCCCTAGCCTTTCATTCAAAGTGGCCATTACTTAGCATTTAGCTTTGCTTTGCTTTGTTTTGTTTGGGGTGGCTAGTTTGTGTTTTTGTAATTTAATCCAGTATCTGATATCTTTACAGCCAGTAAATTATTTCCAAAAGATAGTAGAAATAGGGTAAGCCAAACTTAACCAATTATAATAAAATTTATGAGAGCATAACTTAATATTGTAAGGACTATTATTTAAATCAATCTGAATGTGAAATTTGTCCCTTGAAATGCAGTAGTTTGAATGGAACTGAAGTTTAATGGTACAAGAATATGTTGGTAATTGTACTTTTCATTTATTCTGCATAAAAGGGTCCTTTTTAAGTAATTCAAATGGATATAGACCTATTTTTTATTAGCTAGGCTTGGGATTGTCATGAACATAGTGAGAGTGAGTTCTTGATTACTTTTGATAAACAGCTTTAAAAGGTTTAGAACATGATCAACAATAAGTGTAATTTAATTCTTATTTTTACTGCAAGGACTTAAGCACTGCATATAGAACACTGTTTAAAGAATTTTTCTCTCACCAAAGCCTAAGTTTTAATGTTCTACTCTGTGTCTGTTTCCTGAACAAATATTTCCCGATAAAGTGGTCTTACAGAAAAGGAGGTTAACCAATACAGTGCTAAAAAAGATGCAGTTTTCAAAAACTACTTTTTTTGAAACAGAGATAAAGCAACATGGTGCCTAACAGTAGACAGTCAAATTAGCACTACAGTAATTTTTGGTTCCCACACAATGGGAGCCCTGAAGTAATACCAGCTGAATCCTCAGAGTCTTTGGTTGTACATTTAAAAAGAGCCTCCCTGGGAGGCTGAGGTGGCAGATCATGAGGTCAGGAGTTTGAGATCAGCCTGACCAACATGTTGAAATCTCACTTCTATTAAAAATACAAAAAAATTAGCCAGGCATGGTGGTGCATGCCTGTAGTCCCAGCTACTCTGGAGGCTGAGGCAGGAGAATCACTTAAACCCAGGGGGTGGAGGTCACGCCACCACACTTCAGCATGGGCGACAGAGTGAAACTCCATCTCAAGAACAAACAAACAAACACACAAAAAAACTGTCTCAAAAAAAAATCTCTTTAAATGTACAGCCAAAGTGTGTGAAATAACCTTACTTAAAAAAAAAAAAAATTCTGGCCACTACTTTCCCCATAAAACATCTACTAGAAACTGATTATAAATTTGGCCAGATGCGATGGCTCATGCCTGTAATCCCAGCACTTTGGGAGGTCAAGGTGGGTGGATCACTTAAGGCCTGGAGTTTGGTACCAGCCTGGCCAACATGGCGAAACCCCATCTCTATTAAAAATACAAAAATTAGCCGAGTGTGGTGAAGGGCAGCTGTAGCCCCAGCTACTTGGGAGGCCAAGGCAGGAGAATCACTTGAACCTGGGAGGTGGAGGCTACAGTGAGACAAGATCGCCCCACTGCACTCCAGCCTGGGTGACAGAGCAAGATACCATCTCGAAAACAAAAAACAAAAAACTTAATATAAATCAATTAAAATAATCAGTTATAAATAAAAATCAAACAAAACTCTTATTATATCAATAAAATCCTAGTGTAATATCTCAGAGTAAAATTGTCCTGAAATGCTATCAACTTCACGTTATCATTTAGTCAAACAATCTCAATGGGCCTCATCTTAGAACTGATGAGAATAAGTATTCAGAGTGTTTGTCAATGCAAAAGTAGAAAGCATATGCGGAAAAAGTATCAATCATGAAGCGAATACCCTGATTTCTCTCAGTTATAAAATCTAGGTTTATGGTCAGAATCAGCTGATTTTTCATGATAGTCTCCCTGTGGCTTCCTGCCCTAAGAACCATCTGACGCTATTACTCACTCCTCAGCCACTTTAATCATTTTACTTTGCAGTTTTCTTTTGGAGCACTGAGCATCTCAGTTCAGGTTAAACATAGGTAGGAAAAGAGATTTTCTACTCAGAAGCTTGTCAAGTGCAATTCCACACCCTGTAGAGAAGGAAGGCAGGTAAACAGAATGTGAATCTGACCACAAGCCTGACTACTGACCTCTTCAGGGACAAGTGGTTCGATCATGGGGGCATCCTCCTGCCTGGCGGCCAGTCGCACCGGGGAGGTGGAAAGCCTCTTCTCCCATTCATTCGTTATGGCAGTGTCTGTTGAGGTTTCTAAGAAGGTTCTTTTTAGCTCGCTAATGTTGGTTTGATGTTTCATCAGGTCATCTTGAGTTTTTTCTAGCTCCTATATTCAGAACACAAAGTATCCAACAGTCAACGTTTCACATGTGTGTTCCTTTCAGCTCTTTTGTTTGCTTTTAAAGTAATGTCAATCTTATTAGTAGTCAAAATAAAACAAAATTTTGATCAAGGCTCATGGCACTACCACAAACACTCTGGTGAAAATGTGATTTTCCCATGGAAAGGAAACAGAAAAAAAAAAAAAATCTAGTTCACACAAACATGAATACCAAAAGAATTTTGGAAGGTAAACTATAAAGAGTACCATTCACATGTATCCTGAGAGAATTAAAATAAATATACATACAGGAAAAGGGATCTATATCTAGGAGAGAATAAGGAATCAGAAGCTGAGAAGTCATCCCCACTTATTAACAGATGAGCACACAGTTCATGCATCACAGTACAAGCCCAGAGGTATTACACTAAAAGAAAAACACCACACACAAACATGCACTGGTATATACCAATACCAACCTCTAACATAAGATTACTATGTTTGACATACACATTTTCACCCTTTATTCGTTTAATCAGACTATTCTGAAAAAAGTGGAGAAGAAAGGGAAAAGTAAGGGACACAGTTGTCAAGGGAACAAATGCCAACCTACACACTGCACCAACAACATGGTAACCAGCTACAGAGCATGCTGAAAGATCTGAACGCTGTAGACAAACAACGACTTATCACACACTGTTTTTTTTTTGTATTGTTGTTGTTGTTTTGTTTTTAATGTTCTACCTGTGCCTTGAGCTCTGCATCTTCCTCCTGGTCCGACTGCCAGCATCAAGAAAGAGTGGGAAATAAAGTCTTACATGCAATTTACTCTAAGATTGAAGAACTATGGTCTACACAGACTTGCTAAATGTGGGCACTCGTACGCTCTTGCATATGGATGCCACTTCTTTCTTATACACAAACCACAACATTCTCACACACAATTAGGAAGCTTAATAAGAATATAGGAACATAGGAGTGAAAGAGTTCTTGCCTGGTGGGTCGTTGGCATTTTGACCAGCAGACACACATGGTTGAGAGGGTGACAGCAAGGGTGTGGCAGGTTTTTCTTGATGAACATTAGAAATAGTTCAGGAAGCGAGGGGAGCCAGATTAAAATTAAAATTTGTAAGAATAGCTATGATGATACAATAATGAGAGCTCAAGTGTAGTGTATGAATCCCGCCCTATGAGGTTAGTGATTATGATTCCCAATTGGTAGACCAGAGAACCCATGCTCAAAGAATATGAAGAATTTTGCATGGATGTTCCCACAATTTAAAGTTTCTTGAGACCGTGATTTTCTTTTTTCTTTTTTTTTGTTTTTTGACAGAGTCTCGCTTTGTTGCCCAGGCTGGAGTGCAATGGTGCGATCTCGGCTCACTGCAACCCCCACCTCCTGGGTTCAAGCAATTCTCCTGCCTCAGCCTCCTGGGTAGCTGGGATTACAGGGGCCCGCCACCACGCCTGGCTAATTTTTTGTATGTTTAGTAGACACGGGGTTTCACCATGTTCACCAGGCTAGTCTTGAACTCCTAACCTCAAGTGATCCCAAAGTGCTGGGATTACAGGCGTGAGCCACCACACCTGGCCAATTTTCTTGAATGTGTATAGTTAAGAACAAACTTGGGAGGGGAGAAGACAAATATGGGGCAAGTAAGAAAGTTTTTTTTAAAAAGAGAAATCAACTACTATCAACAACAGCATGATTTCTTTTACAGGTTTTAGACGGGACAATTTTTGAGATTTGAAAAAATACAGTTATCCCAAAGCCACCTCATTCTCCTGGTTTTTCTAATTTCAAGGAGCAGTCTAATCCCTGGACTGCTGTCTGAGTATCAGTAATTAGTAAGCAGGCCAAGCCACATGTGTATGCAGCAGCAAAGCTGTGTCTCTCACTATGGCTCTTGGACTCAGGACTGGGTATTATGCCCTTGTGCTAGGAGAGGAGACCCAGAATGAAATTCGAGGGAGAAAAGGATCACACCAAGTCAGGGGCCTTAAGAAAATCATTTAGTCTACCTAGGTCTCCCTTTTCTTATTTGCCAATGGGGAAAAGACTGCTTACTCTTCATATTCTATACTGACCACTGTTGTGTTGGTTACCTATAGAAGGGGAAGAGTTTCATCAGTATCACGGGACAAACAGGAAATTGAAACACAGTGCTAATGTGCTGGTGACACGCCCATTCTTCAGTGCAGGGGGTTCACAGCTCTTCATTTTATTTTCAAACTTCATAATCTACCTATGTTACAGGTATTCCCTTGCATGCTTTAAATGTTATATAACAAATTTTAAAACTACTGTAGAAGTTTAAGGTATTATTATTAACATATTTTTCCTTTTAGCGCACTTGAAGATTCCAATGAAATTTACTGGATGTACTACCCTGTGGCTACATGTAACTAACTCTTACAAAATCAAGGTATAGCTTTGTGATAGTTGGCAAAGAAAATTACCAACTTGTAATAGATTTATATACGATTGCTTAAAAGAATCTGCATAATAGTTTTAACAATATCATCTTTAACATTAAATTATGATTTTCAAGTTTTGGATTGAACTTTGGCCTTTTTAAAGAAAGAAACCTAATAAAATGCCATCATGAAAGATTTTTTCTGAAGATATTTTCAGTTAAGTGATATACAGATACCACTTACAACATTTTTAGTTTTTTTCTAAATACTCAACTAGAAAACATTATTATAGTAGGATGATGCAAAAAATAACATAAAAGCAACCTAAAATAAACATTATTACAAAGTAAAAACTAAATTCTGCTAGTAAAAAGTAGCCGAATTAACATTGATAAACGTCTTCACTTCCATTAGTACCCAGACATTATTTTTAAAGCTATTTTAACTACTTAACGGTAGAGAAGATTTGAAAAACAATATAAGCCACACACACACACAGACACACACACATTTAATGTACCCTAAAGAAAAAAGGAGAAATAACAGTATATCTTCTATCACTGTTTAATGTGATTACGTTTTTCAAAAATAAAGTACTAACAATAATTTGAAAATTCATTTCTTATGGGTGACCGAGGCTATGGTCAAAGGCTACAAAAATGAGTAAGTCTTATTTTAACAAGAATTATTTCACCATTGGGGAATTAAAAATATATCTGCATCAAGCCAAAATACTAGTTAATTGTGACCTTCTTCCCATTCATTCTATCATGCATCTATAGCCTCTCATTTGAGATAGAATTTTTTCTTAAAAAAAATGTATTATCAGTCTAGGCAAGTAGTTCTCAAAATACATCCTAAGATATGCAGAGTCAATATCACCTGGGAACTTGTTAGAAATATAAATTCTCAAGTCCACCCCCAGCCCTTCTGAATGAGAAACATGAGGCTGGAATCCTCCAGGTAATTGTGATGTAGGCCAGAGTTTAAGAATCACTGGTCTAGATGACAAAATACATATTTAACTCCTACTGTTAAAGTTAGAACTGATTTCCATTACAACAGCTCATATGTGGAGTTCTTAAATGCAGAGCCACCCCACAAGGCGATTTCGGTACGCCACTACTAGCCACTCTCAGCCACAATACCAACCTCAGTGGCGGTGGTCTCCCCGTCGGCTGCAGTGTCCGTGCGCTCACTGTCGGTCTGTTGACCACAGAAGGGATCAGGTTCCAGGAGGAAGGCAGGGACAGAAAGTAAACCATCTGGTCAAACATGGTCTGGCACAGGTCGGACAGATCATTTTCTTTCTCTGTGATTTCTCTGTGTCATACTACCTTCCCACAAGAACACAAGTTCAAGCAAAGCAACAGAAGGGCCAGAGATAGGTGTCATCAGCAGAGCCAACTCATAGGAAGACCTGAGGCGCACTCAGCTGCAGGAGCTGGGGAGCCACGCTGACCTGTCCGGTTCTATGTCTCAGGGAAACCAATTTGTCTTCCCCACACCCCTCCTCCAACTTTTAACTAAAAACCACAAGCAAGATCTCCTTAAAATGTTTAATGCAAATAAAATGGATGTTTATATATATTTTATTCTAGTAATATTTCATATCTCAAAGGTAAACGAAAATGTCAATTTACAGAAAAAGCTACTGTAACAGTCACTGGACTTTCAGCCCCTCATTTATACCATTATGATAATTTACATCCATCTAAGGCCTTCAGACTGTCCGCATTACCTGTCAATTATAAAAGGCACAATGCCAGTGACTCACAGGTATATATATATTTTTTATGGGAAAAAAATAACTCAATTTTCAAGTAGCGTTGCTAACTCGATATTTTTTAAGACTGCATGTTATTTTGCCCCACCCTCCAATATAAAGAAGTATACTGAAGTATGTATTTAAACATCTTGCTCCAAAAATACCATTCAAATGAAGCAAATGATAAGAAGAATTGTTGAAACAATAGACAGAGAGAGAGAAAGAGAGAAACATCTACTTGGAAACAAATAAAACAAAGCACAGCATTTGACAGAGCCTAGGTTTTGAGGAGAATGAGAACAGTAATTTCAGGACTGGTTTTTAATCTGTTTCACAAGAGTTTATGGCTTACGAGCTGTCTTCTCTTGAGTAGAGGAGAGCCATGGACATCTAAATGTCCTAATATTAACTGACTTTCCCTACACAGATATCAACTAATCATTAATAAAGTTCCCTTCATCAAATATTTGTGATTAATATTTTGAAAACAAAAATCAAAATGGGAGGGGAGTCTACGATGCTGAATCTGCTTCTGAAAATAACCTCCCACTACAAAGAACAAGAAATGTCAAGAAGGGACAACTGGGACAGTGCTGTTTCCACTGACAAAACTAAACTCCGGCTAGGCTGATTTCTTGGCACTAGCTGCATGTTTCATGTTGCATACTCCTAAAAGAAAGGGAGGCTGAACACACACTCAGCACATGTACCTCGGGACACCATTCTGGCACCTTTGCTACCAAGTCTAAGTGGAAAATAATTTTCCGGAGGTTGGTAAGGAAAGCATGTTGACACATTTTCGTGACCTGACCAGCTTGGTTAACAACTGGGGGCAGGAGGTGGCTGGTAAGTTTCTTATAAGGGTGATTGTTGCTATGGGATTAGTATGGCTGTACCGAGTGACAGCCCTGGGAAAGGCCAGTTTGAATTAGTAAGAGAGACCGGTTATTTGTTTAGGTGTACAGAATAACTCAAAGATCTTAGGCTTTCAAGAATAAATAAGAATGACTTGCACTTAGTGTTTTATTTTTTTAGACAGGGTCTCGCTTTGTCACCCAAGCTGGAGTGCAGTAGTGCAATCTTGGCTCACTGCAACCTCTGCCTCCTGGGTTCAAGTGATTCTCGTGCCTCAGCCACCCTAGTAGCTGGGACTATAGGTGCATGCCACCATGCCTGGCTAATTTTTGCACTTTTAGTAGAGACAGGGTTTCACCATGTTGGCCAGGCTGGTCTCAAACTCCTGACCTCAAGTGATCCACCTGCCTTGGCCTCCCAAAGTGTTGGGATTACAGGGGTAAGCCACTGCACGCCCAGCTGGAATGACTTGCATTTAGTGTTCTAATTAGTTGTGTCAAACACTTATAAAACTCTTGAAAGTGTTTCTCCTCCAGTCTAGCTTATTTCCCTTATGGTTTTAAAATTTACTTCCGTAACTTGCAAGCATTTTAGCATCAGGGGGCAGTGGTCGTTAAGAGGGAAAGGTTTAATGTCAGATGAACATGAGCTCAAATCCTTTCTGTTCAAACCTGTGGCACATTGGGTACTTTTAATATTTTAGTCCCAGTTTCCTTCCCATAAAATGGGGAAAATAACAGCCCTAAGTGTATTGGATAATGGATAGTAAATGCTTTATATAATGCCTGACACACCCAGAGCTAAAAAAATGCCTATAATAATTATATTATATAGTTATTCCTATTTTTCTTAGCCATATACAAATAGCATAGTCCATATACAAAATTTCTTGAATTCCTACTTAGCATCTAGTCAGTCCGTAGTATAGTGCCTGATCAATAGTAAATAAATGAATAAGGCTGAATAAAGCAGTTTTTATATCAACTGGTATTTCTATAATGTATGATGCCTACATAAAACTGCAAATGTATAGCATATCGTAAACTATTATATAATACTATGTTTATGTAATTTAAAATGTTATAAATCAGTTAATCAATTTTTCTTCCTCTTGATTTGAACTCATCTCTATTTTTCTTTGTATTATCAAAAAATTACTCAGAAATACACATGTAATAGCATTTTATGGTTTGGGGAGGTAAGTTCATCTCACGTTTCTTGATAGGATATTTTGATATCCTGCCCCTTCTTATTTGACCATTCTGAAAGTACAAAAGAAAAATCATGACTGGTCAATAGCTTTATAATGTGAAATGATGAAGCCTTTTTATACTGGATTTCACTCTTGAGAAAGGCTGGAAATAAGCCACTATAACATGTTAAAAATGTAAGCAATGATGATACAATATTTAAAAAGAATTAATTGCTAGTGACTTGGCAAAACGAAAGTGACAAGGCTGAATTGTATGTTAAGAAGTCACCCAGTGTAGCTGCCACAGTGCTTGAGGCCTAGAGATGAAATCAGGCCATGTAAGCAAATGGCAATTTAAATAAAACAATCCAGGATGACCTCAATATGAGTTCTCTAGCTCAGCCTGAACTAGAATGCACAGCTCTTAACACTTCAAGAGACAACACTGAACAGATGGCTAGTTACAGAGTCTGATGGCAGGAGAGCTATCATATGGGCTGACTAGGGCTGCGGAGAAGGGTGATGAAGACTCCAGTGGTCAGTGCTAATTCATGGTTTCGGAGGTTTGCGATAACAAGGACAGTTATGACCGGGAAGCTCCAATCACATGTTCACTAGCTTGTAACAAGTAACTGCTGTGATTTGTTTTGCCAATGTAATGCAGACATGCCCAAGTTTAACATTAACTCTCATGCACTGATTACAACAAGATGTATACCCTGGATTAGGCACAAGATCTGTGTGGTTTGCTATACAAAAGTTCAAACATTTATTTTGAATTTAGAAAAGCATAAAACAGCAATCTTTTTTGCCTTATGTTAGCTTGATGACTAACTCCACTGTTAAAGGAAAAATATATCTCCATGTTAGAAATCAGCTAATAAATAATAAAATTGTCTTTGTAGACAATATTGTGTTCTTAACTGTAATATGTTCTAGTCCAACACTATTTGATAATATTACCAATATGAGAAATAGTGATATTAAAGCCTAGGATTTCAAGTAGTTCTCAAAATATTTTCCATGTGTAAAAAGTTATTTATATATCAGTTGGAGCAAATCGTTATATATAACTCAAGAACCTTGAAAATGTCTCTTATGCAAAATCTATTAAGTGTAGACTTTTACTTAAAACACCTGTGAGACCATTCACATTTTTTTTCCTTCCGCTGCAAAGAAATGGTCATAATTCCACTAACTAGAGATACTCGCACACCCTCAGCATATAATACTACATACTCACAGGTGCGGCTCAAATTATGACTTTCTAGCTGAGCACAGAATCAGACTTTCTTTCCTTTTTTAGCATTGCCTTGACTTTGTGACTTTTGAAAAAAATGGTAAGGTATTTTCCTTTTCTCCTGTCACAACAGCTCTTGTTCTGTGGGAACAGGAGGGCTGCAGGGAGCCTGCGGAGAGGTGTGGGCAGGGGCGTGCATGAGAGCAACCGGGGCTTCTGGTGGCAGCTTCTATTATTCTTCCCCGCACTCTGTTTGAAGCCTGGAGAAAGAGAAACTGCTGGGCTGTTCACAGGGCTGTGGGGTGGTGGGAAAGGAGAGCAATTAACAGGAAAAACTACTGGCTACCATGCCAGCTTGTCCAATTGCTCCAGTGGGGGACAGGAGCCTGCCCTGCAGCAGCATGCCTTCAAGGACGGTGGCTGATAGTTCAGGGTCTTTCCCCCACTATGTCCATGTCCGGCTGGCAGCCACAGAGGCCCAGCCTTACCACACTGTGAAAACGGGGGGATTTTGAGGCTCATCCTGCAGTTGAAAGAATCGCTGTCATATTATCTGCATTGGCATGGCTAGCACTGGTGAAATTTCAGCCTGTCTTTGCATTGTTTGAAAACGTCAATTTAGTCCTTTTCTGATTGTGTTTGAACACTGCTGCACTGCATGCCATTGCTTCTGGGCCTGTTTCTGCCCTTACCAATGGCTGATGTCATGTGGGTGCTTTCAACTGCTCTGACACAACACAATGCGGCATCTGACTGACAGACCTGTCTGTGAGTGACAGTGACTGTCCGGCGATGATGAGCAGAGGGCGGTGGGGACATTTCAGGATCTTCAGGGAGGATATACCTTTGCAATTTTAGAAAGCTACCTAGGTGACAATGATACATCCCCTCTGAGGATGCGTTCTTCCACCTCTCCTTGACTATCATTTGAGTTGAAACAACTCATCATCGGTCTTATATGTGATTTACCTCACTAAACAATAACTGATCAGAACTTTCAGCTTAGCCCTGATCTTTTACATGGCTAATGGGTTACATAAAATTGACTTCTGGCTGAGTCTTTCATCCCACGTAGAACTCAGTGGGTAGCAGAACGATTCCGGGTTGGGCTCAGACTGCTACATCCACATGGTGTTGTGCCTAACCCTGGGGCCCAGGTTGGACTCCCCAACACACAGAAACCTCAACATATTGGCACAGACAATAAATGAGGCTCTGAAAGTAGGACCACTATGGCAGCAGCCGGCTAACACTGTTTCGGACTCAAGCACGGAACACGAAGGGGAAGCGTGTTCTATGCCGAGGTACACACCTCTTCCTCTGAACTGTCACTCGGGTCATTGTCTAGGGAGGCGCTCAAGGAGGCCGCCTTGGGCTCCAGGTAGCAGAGGCACAGAGCCAGAGGGAAGGAGAGAGTGAGAGCGTATGGCACTGAGAAGGAGGCAGACAGCAGAAAGAAAAAGATGAAGAGGAAACAGGGCACGAGGGACGGTGAGCGGATCGGGAGGTAATGCTGCAAGCTCTGGGGCAGGAGGTTGGTTTCAGAAAGGTTGGGGAAAGAGAGGTACCCATCATCATCTAGGAGGGAGGGGAATGACTCGGGGAGCTGCAAGGAGAAGGAGAACAGGGTGGTCCCCTTGCCAGTTTGCTGTCTGTAGCTAAAAGCCACATCTTGATCCCCTAGGTAAGGCCTCCCTGGGCCATCAGAGTCCAAGGCGGGCTCTCCGGGCATGTGCTCAGCTCTGGATGGCTCGTAACCTGGCAGTTTGCAGTCATTCTCCTTACACCTCCTACGGAGCTCTGTGGCAGATGTGGGGGCACAATGGGCGGATGGGGGTGACAAGGGACATGAGTCAGTGCCAAGCCCAGGTGACTGATGTGAAAGAGACAGAGAGAGACAGAAAGCAGCAAACAGAGGTGCAAAAGGACAAAAAGAAAACTGCAATTAGTTAATTTTCTTATGGGTATCAATATAAAATTGTAAAACAAAAATTTTAGCACTAGGGTTGCTCATGAATGTTAAAAGTATTCAAGCTGCATGCCAATGTTGCCACAAATGGCTACATTTCTCCCATTAGACCATCATATACAGGTGGAATTCTTTAAAAACTCAGAACAGAAGGTATTTGTGGGCAATCCCAAAGTCTACACATTTCACATGATCAAAAAATTTCATTTTAGACCAACACTCTAGAAAGTTTCAGGTTTTGGGGAACAAACATAAGTAAATCTGATAACTTAAAATCAAGACTTTCAATAACCTTCTTCTGATTTTCAGGTAGCAGAGCTGTTACTATAGTTCAGCTAGATTAAAAATAAAGATGAAATCCAATCCAGATTTTGATTTAAAAAAAAATCTCTAACATTAGTCCTTTCCTTGGTTATTCAGTTACATCCGAAACAGAGAGTTTACGTTCTAAATCAAGAAGTTTCTGGCCCCACTCCTATCTGATAAGTAGTTACAATCAGGGATTGGACACTTAGCACTTCTGAATATCGCACTCCTCAAAAAGAATTAAAGTTCCCTTGAAAACTCCATTTTGGCTCCTTTACTTAGGACATTAGTGGAACTTCAACTCAAGTGATTTCAACAAGCTAACTAGAAACAACAATGTGTTTTCTTGTAACACGCTTCGCCAGTATTTACTTTCTATTATTTATGATGCATAATAACAGAAAGATATAATTTCCCAGCCTTCTGATTTTTCTTAGCAGATAAAGGGCATGTTTAGATCTTTGGTTTGAGGCCTTAATATAATAACAGCAGGGTTTTCCACAAGTGCTCCTCTGGTGAGCGCAAACTTTAATGGGGTAGGTGAATCTACTTCCCCTCTCTCTGGGTCCTGGAAGTCTCCACCACCAGTGCCAGTTTCCTCTGCAGGTGGTAGAGGGGTTGCTGGACAAGAAGGGGAGGAAGGAAAGCACACAAATCCCAAGCAGGCAGGTACCTTCCTGTACCTGCCCCAAGCCCCTGGGCAGGTACCGGAGCTGCTGCAGGCCGGGAAGTCCAAGTTTGAAGGTAATGAGACTCCTGCTGATGTCTGTGTCACTGCATGTGTGTATGTGTGTGTTTTGTCCAGTGGCCTCACAGCATGGAAATTACCCAGCCTGCCTTGTGTGGTTATCCAATCCTGACTTGGGGAGAAGTGGTAAATATAGCGACAGAAAGAAAATGCACAAATAAAGTTACATCTGAGGCATGAGGGAAAGAAAATGCACAAATAAAATCATAGCCCTTCGGCATCGGAAGGGTCTCTTTCTACTATGAGACAAGTATGTCTTTTTCCACACACTCGTATTTGACATTGAAGACGGCACTTTAAACAGGAACCTGCACAAATCTCATTCAACTAAAATAATGTAGGTGCTACACTCTAACTTCTGCATGAAGACAACTGTCCTCCAGCATGGAGGTGAGGCGGCCCCATGATCTGGGGGATCCCAGCCTGGGAAACGTGCCTCCTTGCCAGGCAACCTAGTGGACTAGCCTTTCAAGAACTATTTTCAGTAATACACTTTCATTTTGGTTGAAAAATAAGTACCCTCTCGGTTACTTTTTGAAGATGGAGTAAGATAAAATTAAGGTTTATTTTACCTTCCATGCTGATTATTGAAGTCATTTCTAAGACAGCTTTGCACTGGGGAAACCAAGCCAGCCCACACCTATACAAGCACCAGATTTCAGCTACAGGCTTCCTGAAGATGTTCTGCCCACAGCGCTGGCTTCTCAGAGACTCAGGCTATGAGGCTGGCAGTGTCCTTTGTCTTTTTATTTTCCCACATCACAAATGGCACCCAGTGAGGACAGCTTAGTGCTATGATTTACATAAACAAACTTGTGGTCTTCTAAAATCAAATAAAGCAAAAATGTCTGGCCTTATCTTGGGAGCAAAACTAAAAATCATTTACATTGATGTGTCACTTCTTCATACTTATACATCCACGGGAATCTTATGTTGGCATGGCGATTTTGCAAAATGTTAGAATAAGAAGAAGAACCATGTATTGGTTATTTTGGGTGGATTATCTTCTTTTCTGTCCCCTTTAAAGCCTTCCTTGAATGAATAGACAGGAAGAGTGTAAAAACAAAATTTAGAACAAAGCACATTTTAACAGCAAAAGTTATCGAAATAGCCCTGCCATTATTTCCTACTCTGTGCTTAATTTTGTGTTTGCCAAATAAATGATCTTATCCTAAAAAATAAAAGATGATGGATTGGGTCATTTGTAATATTTTAATATAACTACAAAAATGATTTGTCTATGTTAAGATGTCGCTGCTAAATTCTTGCCAAAAGGAACACTTTCCATAGAATCCGGGGTAGTGATTCTCCATCTCTATTTGAAGAGCCCATGTACAAAAGAGCACTCATGAATCAAATTTACTCAAATTTTAGGATAACCCATGGGTTATTACGAGCATTTTCATTCTGCTATTTCCTCTTACTCTATGCTCTGTACAGGCCAGGAGGCACTCTGTTTTTCCATTATTATTAGGTATAAACCTCCTGAAGTGTTTTTTGACTTTTAAAGTATTTTTCTGAAAAGTTGCTTTGTAGTGCTGATCACCAGAAAAAAACATAGTGTTTAAAAATTATGTTAAAAAAGATACCTAATTTGGGGTGAAACGATGTCACAAAGTTGAATGAATTAAACACTGAAAGAAGAAACTGCTGCCAAACTCACTTTTTATCTTCTATTGCAACCTTCTGCCTTAACATCCCTTTTCAAAACACGGCCAGTCACTACTCTGCTGATTAGATTGTAAGTAAAAACATACAGGCTGTGGTCATGCACTTATAGTCAGAAGAATGGTAATATGATAATTGCATATCTAGAAAAATATGCTGTACTTGGGTAGGAGAATGGGGCCAGAAACAAAGAAAACAACTTTAGTGACAGTTCTGAAATGTGAGCCCAAACAGAAAAGTATAATACGCCACCAACAGTATTTTTAAGATACACATACAGGACAGCTATTGAAAGTCTTACATAGCACACAAGTTATTAAAATACAAATTTTCAAAGAGCTATGAACGAATCTTTCAGAGGAAAAATGTTGAAACAGGAATCATAATCTAAAAATTGTCATATGAATGTGACCAGTGCTGACATATGATTTACCCTAAATCTCAGCACATTCCTGGTTTACAGCCTCAGCATCATTTAGTCATTCTTAAAAACTGCAGCAAGCTCTAGCAGGCAGTCTGGGAGCTATACCTTTCCCTCGTGCCGGATGGCCGAGACAGGCGTGACTTCCTCCCCCTTCCTCCGTTTGTCCTCTTCCTCGTCCCGCTCCTCCTCGGCCTTCTTCTCCGGAGTCACAGTGGTGATCAAGTTGGTCTGAGAGATGCCTTTTGTTGTGGCGTACTGGCCAGTACCAACCTCTGCAGCAGACACAGAATCCTTCATGTATATTTCATGGTTTTCATTCACTGATGCTAAAAGCAAATACAATTGAAGAAATAAAATCCAAAATAGTTAGGTCAGAAGACAGATGAACACCACCAATTATATCTTTACTGAAAAAAAAGAATACCATCACAAAATACCGGGTTTGTCTTGAGAAAACAAATCAGTGCTTCAGGGACCTTCCTGTAAGCACGAGCTTCCTGTATTTCCCATACCAGCGCTTTAACATTCTTGAAATGCTCATGTCTTGGAATGTCCTCTCTCCTCAGGCTCTCTGGTGAGGATGTGTGTAAGTGTGGACATGAGTGGAGGGCCACGAGGCCGAGGCTGCCGCTGGGCCTGTTATCACCCGGAGTCACCGGCTGGCACTGGCACCAGTCTCGTAGTGGCCAATTCCACACCTAACGGCAGTCTTTACAGTACACAATTGCTCTAACACACTTGGCTCTTTGGAAGTGCCATTCACCAAGAAGCACTGAACTGGTTTTCTTCTTATTATTAATGTTGAAAAGTCTGTCACTCTTACAATATAAAAGCTCCACGGGTAATAACAAAAATTAACCATCTTGGTGGAGATTATAAAATACAGATGGCAATTCTATTCGTCTAAAGCACAGAAATGTTTTCATTTCTACTGCATTTTAAATGGGCTACCATAATATGCATATACATTTACTCATCTCTAATATTTTGGGAAAACACAATGAATGTTGCTAAATGAAATTCATGCAAATACAAAACATGCAAACGCAAGAGAATAAGACATAGCCTTTCATCCCAGCTAAAACGTCTTAGTGAAAAGATGCTTAATTGAGTTAAATCTTAAAATTTGGTACTCATTATTTTAGGTTTCAGATATAAAATTTATTAAAACTTATAAATGTGGCTTTTCAAATACACAGTAACTAATCACAGACAAAATATAACCCACATTATTATGTTAGGAATTTTAAAATGTAAATAAAAGGATTCTGAAATGAAATCCTCTCTGAAATCCTTTTGATAGCTAAACTATGTCACTAAAATATCTTCACTAAGACATTTTATATCTCTTTATACTATTGAAAAAGCTCATATGAGACAAAGTTTCCTAATAGACCAGTTAGGCCACCCTCTGTAAGATGCAACCTTGCAAAAAAGCGGTTGATGTTGCAACATGCAGCTGTGCCACCCAGCTCAACAGCAGCAGAAAACACACTAGAGCTGGCAGGACTGCGAAGAGTGAGACACAGCACATACTAACATCACTTTTGGGCAGGGAGAAAGAGACAGCATGACGTTAGTACACTGATTTCACAACTGTCTTCTGTCTTCTCAGCAGTCATTATCACACTAAAGGTCATAAGGAAAACAATATTCACAACAAATGTGTTCCCTGGGGTGTACACCACTGAACAAAGTGGATATTCAGGAAAAAAAAGTGCGATTCTACAAAGTTCCTCAAATACTAATAACATACAGAAATAGGTAATAGAGACAACCTAAAGGAGAAAGAAGAGTCAATAGGATAAATCAAAAAGAAAAGCTTCAATGTTAACATGGATATTTCAATATCTTAATTCAGCTAGAAACAGTCCTGATAACTATTTTATTCAAAAGGGCTGGCTCTAAGTTTGGTATTCCGGAAACTCTTAGAAAACACACAACGGTAATGAACTTCCTAGGCTAGCTCACAAAAGCCTGTAGAAATAATTATCGATATAAAATGTGGTATATATATACACCATGGAATACTACTCAGTCATAAACATGAATGAAATCATGTATTTTGCAGTGACTTGGATGGAGCTGAAGGTCATTATTCTACCTGAAGTAACTGAGGAATGAAAAACCAAATACCATACGTTCTCATGTATAAGTGGCAGCTAAGCTATGGGTATGCAAAGGCATGTAGAGTAATACAACGGACACTGGAGACTCAGAAGGCAGACAGTGGTGGGCGGAGGGTGAGGGATAAAAAACTACATATTGGGTACAATGTGCACTACTCAGGTGACAGGTGTACTAAAAGCTCAGACTTCACTACTATACAATTCATCCACGTAGCCAAAAACCGATTGTTTGTATATCAAAAGCTACTGAAATTTTTTTAAAAATGTGAAAAAGAGTAATTATCAATATGATGATTGAGATAATTGCCTATGTAACAAGAGTGCTTTCACATATATCTTGCTTTTCACAACGGCCCCATCAAAGTCTGAATATAATATTCCTATTATAACAGATGACTACAACAGACCTGAAGAACTGAAATCATTTGTCAACCACCGCAGAGACAGAGGGCAGCAGAGCCTGGACTTCAATCTGGATTTACCGATGTCACATGAGTACAGTTCCCACCTCATTAGTAACATACATAATACAGCACTAATAATGCCATTTTGATTTCTTCTGTAAACTGTTCACAAAGTATTCCATTAGAAAAAGACAGTTGTTTTTAGTTGGGAGATTCGGGGAGCACCTCTCCCCATCAATCACCCAGCTGGTGAAATGGGGAAGGCAGAGCTGAAACTCTCAGGGGAACAGTGGCAAAAAAGGTAGGGAAGGAGATGGTCTCAGGCACTTGTAACTTTTGTTTATTTTTATTTATGTTTTTCCTTATTATTTAAACCACGACCTGCATACCAGAAACTCCTAATTCTTTTTACTTGCACAGGATAAGATCTTCTATTAAAAACAAACCTCCAGGTGCTCCAAATTAGAAGACAGAGACCCAGACATGATTCAGTTCCAGAGCATTGTTAAGCAGGCATGCCTTGCAGCAGAAACCATACCTCCATATTACTCCAGAGAGCAATCATGAAACTGTTTGATAAAACAAAACCCTACTAAAAATTCACTGTTGTGTTATCCCCTAAAAAGGTTGTTTGAGTGATCATCTCTCCATTTGACTAATTTGACTTGGCAGTACAGAACCCCTACACAGCCTGTTCTCCCAGTCCATCTGGGGTAGTAATTAGCACAACTAGGAGAATTTAACTTACAGCCCTTTGCTCCGTTATTTGCATGTCATCCTTTCTACCAGCTATTATCAACTAACTGATAAAGGCCACATTTCATTCATGAAGATTTTTTAGAAACAGAAATAAATGTAACTTACAGATTTATAAAACAAATAGTCTTAAACCTACCAATCCTTTAAGACTTGTTGGCAAGAGAATCAAATCACAGAGTATGTGACTACTATATTTAGAATGAGAGCATCTTTCTCCAAATTCAGGGTGTCAGTTTAAGAAAGCTATTTTCTTCATTCCCTGATGCCATTCTTTCATGTAATTTTACATAAACCTGCAGATGTTAGACTGACAAAGGGACTTTCATTTCACTGGGGGAGACTTAAAAATGTGCCATTCAGTCAATGAGCAACAAATGCTTTTCAACGTACAATATCCAGGAATATCTATGCTTACTGAAAGCTCATGACAGTTTCATACTCTTTTTGGGGTAGGTACTAGGTTACTAAGGGCCAGTAAGTGACGCCTACCTCCATCCAAACTGCGAGACATGGTATAACGTTTGCTGGAGGAGCGTTCAAAGTAAGGTGCTGGGCGATCTATCAACGCACTGGCTCTTCTCGTTTGCGCTTGTGTCCTGCCACTGTAACGAAACTTGGAACCCAAGGTTAAGAATTTCTTGGGAGGTGCTTCTGGTAACAACAGTCTAAAGAGAATAAAGAAAAACAGCAGAAAGACTATTAAGTACAATATTGAGAGTGCTTTTTAAACTTTTTACTCTGAGAGGTCGTGTGTGTTGCGTGCTAAACGTTTAACACACAAATTGCAGTTAAATAAATCTGATTTCATAAAAAAATGCACATAGTATATATCAACTAGGGATGTTGTAGAGAGGAGATATGCAAATGAGGGTTGTACTGAACTAGATGAACTTTTAACATTCCATGCAAAGTAGACAGTCTACGGTTCTATAAGCCCAAACAGCAACTAAATAGATTGATATTAGTTAAGAAGAAGAGTGATAATTTGTTGTTGGGTGCCTAATTTGATGGGTCTCATACCATGTATAGGTAGGTAAAGAGATTCAGGGATTAAGAAATCACTGAAATAGTAAGGAATTGAAATAGTAAGGAATAGATTGGATATTTGAAGTGGACACCTTAAAAATAATGTAAAGACACTAAATATACTAAAGAGGAGGAGGTTGGGACACGTAAGTACATGACAAATTATGGAAAATCCTTCAAATTTACTCTTTTCCTAGTTCTTTTAGGATTTCTTATCAAGAAATATGGTGACAATGAACTTGAAGGCATAGAAATAATAAAATTCCATATTTTTCTTATTGACAATCTTTTTCAGTATCAGTGATGATAATTATTTCTTAGAGAAAAAACAAAATAGTCTCTTCCTACCTGAAAAATGTATGATGCTCGACACATACTTTCCATAAACGCTTGGCAGCTCGATGGTTTGGCAGCTTAAACCCAATGGTGCTTTCAAATTGTTCAAACTAAACAAAAAAAAATACATTGAAGAGTAAAGTTTAAAATTATAAATAACAGAAGCCCTGTAAATAATTTATAAAATCATACTGCCACCAGAATTTTAAAAATTTACTTACTAGATCAATTGCTACATGCATAATTCATGCTATACACATTCATTTGTTAATTTCGAAAATGTGTCTTTAAAATGCTGCAGGTACAAGTAGCCACATTATGCATACAGTAAAATGTCTTCTGAATAAGTGTGTATCTTATGATACTACTGAAAACTAAACACAAAAGGGTTTTTTTTAATTTATTCCAGAAATCAATTTGTCCTGATACCACTTTTAAATTTTATTTTCATGGTTTCTCAATGACACAATGACTTCAACTGCAAGGTACAGAAATGAACCAAATGTTTACAGATATAGTCTACAGCATTCTTAGAAATGACATTTTTCTCCTAATATCTGGTCAGGAAATATGTATATTTCTTAGGTAGTTGATAACTTGGTGTCGAGACTGCCGATTTTATTTGTGTGTTCCACTATGGATTATCGTGTTAAATGCTAACGTCTCTCTATATCATACGTAAGATCAGAGATTGGGGGAACATATTTTTATATCTTTTAGCATGTACATTTCAGATGATGCTTTATCAGCCATTTGATTTTTCGAGGTGAAATACTCATCTCATTTCCTGCATAATATACTTTATTACTGCAGATGCACAGGTTTTCACATTGTGAAGAAAGTACACATCAGACCACCAGAGGGCAATCATCTTAAACAGTAAAGGCTTCCCCAAAGAGCAAACAACCAGTGCTACTGCTATAATCAATAGCAAAAATAATTTATGTGGCAAAGAACCGAGGTGAGGGGTCATATGCATGGCATGTGAGATACAATCATGTTTGACCTCTATTTCTTGCTTGCTGAGGATGATTAGGGGAAGTGGGAAATACATCACAATTGCTTCAACCGCAATTGCCTTTCCCAACTTCTTATTCACTCTGGATGTTCATGCGCAGTGGTGTTTGTAAAAATCACTGCTGTCCAAGGGACCCAGTCAAGACAGATACAGTGTAGCTGTGACTAAACCATCATCCATTTATTCATCCTGCAACTAATATGCACATACTATGCCAATGCCGGGGTTATATGGAAGAGTCAGCTTGCACTCTGCCGCAAGAAGCTGGGAAGAGTCTCTGCCAACCTCTGTAGGCAAGGAGGATGCAGGCTCCTAGACTACCTGAATAGGTATTAATAGTTTATTAGTATATATTTCTCTGTGTTTTATATCAATTTCTTTCAACTTCTTCAGAGCCTGTGTGTTCCCAATAATTTCTTCTCACTCCTCTCAGGCTGTAAATAAGATTGTAAAAACAGAGAGAAGAGGAGTGAAACAACAGCTTTTTCTGAGCCTGTTTCTGCCAGCACCACAACCCCATCTCACGCCTCACTGCTAAACTTCAGGAAGCAGAAGCCACTACCTGCTGCCTCTGCTCCTCACTCCTGACCTCAACACGCCCTGGCAGGTGCTCCCCACACCTTTCTGAACTCTGAAATGTCATCATGGGGCCTGACTGTCAAGTTCAACATGCTTTTGTTAGTCCACACCCTGCGTGCCCCTTCTGTAACATATGGTACTACTAGCTAACCACTTTCCTCTGAAACTCATCTCCTGGTCATCCAGCAGCCTATGTTTCTTCTTTTATCTCTCTGGCTGTCATTTCTTCATCTCCTTGACCCTTTCTCAAATAGTAGTATTATCCAGAGTTCTAGTTTTAGGGCCTTTTCTTTCTCTAACTTGTCTTGCTCTTTGAGTAATTTATTCCATGTCTAAGGCCTTGAATAAAATATATAGTTGACAACTCTGTTCAACTCGTTCTTATGCAAGAATTACTCCCTGAAAATCTGTTCCAAAGGGATCTCAATTGTTTTTCTGTAAATTTCCCCCTTTTCCCTCCTGCCTAATGTCATCTCCATTGGCTTCAATCATGCAAACTGAAAACCTTTGATTATCCTGGACTCTTTCCTCTTTTAATTCCTTCCTCCACCCTGTCTCTAAGATCTGCTGCTTCTGCCTCTCAAACCTCTCTCTTGAATTTGTTCCCTCCAGTCTATTCCCAGAGCCTCTGCCCTAGTTTAGGTCTTATCACATCATATTTCTAAGTAGTTGAATTTCATTAAGAAATCTATCATTCCAAAATATTCACCTAGTTGTGTCACATCCTGATTTAAAACCTCCCATGACTCACTAGTGTCTGCTGATTCATTTCTCCAGCTCTCCCCTCTGGCCTCTTACAATACTACGCTCACCCCATGCCTACAGAATATTATCTCATTTGCATCATGCTGTTCCAATCAAAGTATATGAATCCGTTTTCCTGCTAAACAGAAAAGTCATTAATAAGGAACAAGGTCATATTTGTCTTTCTATTTCTAATACCTGACAATAAATAGGTGCTCACTTAACAAATGTTCAATGAAGTCAAATGACTATCTATTGGCTATAAGTTAAACACATAATCTTTAGGAAATATTTTTAAAACACTATAATTTTAAGTATTTACATGAAAAGCCTACAGATTATTTCAGTCATCATAGATGGGTATGATGTTATACTCATATTAAACATCATTACATGCTTTATATTTCAATTTTTTGTTGTTTTTGAGACAGGGTCTTCGCTCAGTCACCCAGGCTGGGGTACAGTGGTACAATCACGCTCACTGCAGTCTTAAACCCTTGGGCCCAGGTGATTCTCCCACCCTTGGCCTCCCAAAGGGCTGGGATTACAGGCATGAGCCACCATGCCCAGCCGATATTCTGATTTTAAAAATTGCATTTTCCATCAAGAAACTCCAGTGGAGAAATAGATTTTGAAGATAAGAGGTAACTCTATATTATATCAGAAAACATTCAGAGATATAAGAATGCTAGAATCTTTGAGCTTTGACTGCCTCAAATATACTAACCACACCAATTAGAAATTCAAGGTATTTATTAACTATCTGTTAAGTAAATAAGAGAAGATATGTGTTACTATTATGTACAAACCACTAAGCAAGATATAAACATAAGTTGATCATGGAGGCTGTTGTCCAAGGAGTAAGGACTAGTTAACAATTTTGATTCTCTCATTAGCTTCTCTGACTTATAAAAACAACAAGCATATATTGAGCTATAGAACATTGACATAATTCACACTCACTGTCCTTTGTTCTAATATTCCTTGTACCTTGAAGTACATGACCTCTAAGCTTTTCACTTTAAAGTACAACCCGATTTGTAGGACAAGTAGAAAGAGCATGGAGAAATAACAACAGGATGTGGAGGAAGAGATTTATCCATTACTATTTGAAATATACACAAAATTATTCATGAAACTGGATTTTATATTAAAATATATTTTTTAAAGCCCTTCAATTAATGTATGCAGCAGGAAATATTGGAACAATATAAAAAGGGAGAGACTACTTTATTTATTACTGTTTATTGGGCAAATCTACAATAAATTTTCTCAGGCACTTAGATGTAATTCACTGTGTCCCACAATGCTCAGAACTCATAAGCAGATAATTTAAATGTTTGCTTGCTATCAGGGATTTTCCTCCTAACGCACATGCAGATGTGGGTATACTTACCTCTCCTGGCCGGATCTTAATGTAAAAGTTGTTCCGTTTGTATGAAATCTTTAGAACCTTGGGCCAGGCAAATCTGTTTATTCGCAGCCGGTCGCGATATATCAACAGACCACTTGCACAAACTCCTAACATAATTTCTACCCCTTCTGAGTCCTGGAAAAAACAGCAAGAAACAACAGATCAGTATCTAACTTATTTCCATTTTCTGCTGGGTATAATATTTAAGCATCCACGACAGAAATATAAATGGCTGGTTTACATATGCAAAATGATGTGGCCATTTTAAAAACATTACTATTAAACACTAGCCTTTTGGTGAAGATGTTTCTCACTATGGAGAGGTTTGTTAAGAGTAAAATCTGCTCTCCCAGGTGTCTCAGACTTATAAAAGTAAATACTGCACACCAAGAGGGCCCAGCCCATGAAGGTATGTTAATAACAGTCGTAATAGTAGCCATAGTTCTCACTTGTCAATTGCCAGGCACTGCTCTGCTTTACATATATTCCTTTAATCTTCACTGTGATTGAAATGGTTGCTATTATTATTCCCATTTTACAGATGAGAAAATAGGTACAGAGTCCCAGTTGAACACAGCCTGGTTCCAGAGGCGGCACCCTTAACCAACAAATATGCCAACAGGATGGACCCTGACTTTTCCTATGAGGGTTTTGGTTGCTGTTCCTTTAAAAAGAGCCCAAATATTTTTTATATACCATTATTGTCAGAGTAAAATTTAAATATGAAATAGGTTTTTTTTTTAAGTATGAATGAATAAAAAAATATAAGAATGTATTTTCCCCAACAACCACCATTCCCTCCACACAAACACACTGCCCAGTGGTAATCACACTTAGCAATATGGCTCACATATATAAATAATAAATATTTTTTAAATATGTGTATAGTTTTTTTAAGAAACAAATGTGAGATCATACTAGAACTGCAACTTCCTTTTGCTACTTGCACATTTCATGTTCAGGTAATTTCCTAGGGATGTGTGATGTCCAGCGGTCATTAGAGATGTTGTGTCAAGCTTAGGAGATATACCACATACAGTCTTTCCCCATGTTGTATTCCATTTAAGTCAGGGTAAAATGAACATCTGTGGTGGCCATGAATGAAGGAAAAAGATAGGATGCAGGCAGGATTATACGTGAGGTCAGAGTCCGTCCCTGGTCCCACTGATTGTTGGAATCAGGGGACAGAAAGGGTTATGAGCTGACCACCCATCGGAAGCAATGCCCAGATCTGCTGTCAATGCAAGGCAGAAGATGGAAATTTCCAGAATCAGAAATACATATACTGGTCTATCTCTGGGAAATGTAAGTTTGCCAACAAAGCATAATTGGTTTAAAATGAAATATTTTACTTTGGAAACGTATCATTCCATGACATACTGAATTACTCTGCAGGAGTGGAAATATTTGATGGCAGGATATTACAATATAATAAAATTTGAGGAGAACTCAAAGACCGGAAACTGCCCACCATTTATCTAGGACTTTAATTTGAAAGAGTGATTTAAAGAGCTATAACCTGATGCTGACACGCAGCTGGTATTACTGATCCTTTAGAACCAGTCAATCTGTCTGCACCACCACTCAGAGGTGACCACCTTACTCCATTGGCAGAGTGCAGGAATGAGGAAGGACTGCCAGAATCACTTCTCTTTGACTCACTTTCTTTTTGGTAACTATAGAACAGGACTTTAGGAAGTATACCTTCAACCTACCAAGGGAAAGGACATTCGAAACCTTTTCCATTATTAGGTAACAATAAAACTTTTAATAAAAACCTTAATCACCTGTTACTTCTTTGAATTTTAAGAAAACAGTAGCTCCCTTCTTGAGGAAGATGAAGAAGGCTCTGATGCCTCCTCTTCCTGTCTCCTCCAAAAAACACCTCTCTGTGTCCCAAAATCAATCTGTTATCTCTAGTACACCCTTAGCAAAAGGCACTGAAATAAACTATCACTTGTCTTCCTTATCCTGGAGACAAAAGCTGGTTGAGAGCAGGAGCTCTGTTTATCTTTGTAATCTCACGGCCAGCGCACTGCCTACCTTGCATGCACGAAGCCATTACATGTTTGTTGAAAGAAAAGTGAATGAAAAATGAAAATGACAGAAATGAGTGCAGTTTTTAATTGGATGCAAGTCTCGATTTCATTAATTGCATGGCAAGAAAAATGATACTTTTCATCTCAAATTTTCTGCCACAGGCCACAGTACTGAGGTTGGTTTGAGAAATCTTTTTTTTTTTTTTTTTTTTTTTTTGAGAGGGTCTACCTCTGTTGCCCAGGATGGAGCACAGTGGTGCCATCTTGGCTTACTGCACCCTCCACCTCTAGGGGCTCAAGCAATTCTCGTCCCTCAGCCTCCTGAGTAGCTGGAACCACAGGCAGGTGCCACCGCACTCAACTCATTTTTCTGTTTTTGTAGAGATGGGGTTGTGCTACATTTATTCAATCGGGTCTCGAACTCCTCACCTCAAGCAATCCGCCCGTCTCAGAGTGCTAGGATTACAGGTGTGAGCTACCTTGCTGGGCCTGAGAAATCTTTGGTTTTAAAAGTCATGACAACAGTATTTGTTGAGGACATGTGCATTTCACTATCAATAAATACATGTGCACTCCCTTTAGCAAGGAGCACTGGGGTGGACCTGAATAGTCTCAGTCATCATGAAAATAAAGGGGCATACAATTTCTTTAATTCGACATCAGTGTTCAAACTTTGCCATCCTTCAGCATCTACTGCTCTGCGGGATATCCTATATGGACTTATATCTACATTTCAGAATCTTACATAAAATAAATGACTCTGACAAAGCCCATCAAGATGCACATTAAATGACAAACAAGCAGAGTCAGATGTACAGAAAAAACAAAACATTTAGAATAGGTTTTCCAAAACATAGGACCTTTGTGTAATATGCGTGTTTATTCTTCATACAGGATTCCAGCTCAGAAGTTTTAAACGGATTGTAACGCTCAGGGTCTTTCATACCATCAACAGAAGCAAGGCATCTCGCTCATAACCGGAAATTAGCTCCAATTTGTTTCAGTAAATTTCCTTCTTCAAATGATGGAGTGTGGTGGCATGGGAAAATTGAATCTATAACTGAATTATCTGTTATACTTAATATTCAGAAAAATTTCTATAACGCTACATTTGTACTTCCTTAATTTTCTTTTTAACTGGCATAATTTCAAATCACATTATTAAATGAAAAAGGCAGCCATCTATTTTAATTCTGTAGCGATAGCAATGTTAAGTGATTTTATATTTACTGATAGAAACACTGATACATCCTGAGGTGTACTTCCTGAAATGTACACCCTACTCTTTCATTTATTTATTTATTTCCGGGCAGTAAGAGAATCAAAGTGTGTGATGTAACTCAAAAATAGCTTCAGATTCACTCAAATTCTCAGGCTCCCTTCATTTCCTTCTTGTTTCCTTGTCTTTTAGCCTCTTCCGGGGAAACACTAAGAGAAATTTAAAAATCTTAATGTCTGCTCTTATTTTCATTTTGAAATTCTCACTCTACCTTGTACCTAATATACAATAGAAACATCTTTGTTATCTGAGTGCAAAATAAGTGAAAAAGTGTAATAATGAACTGGCAAGTAAACAGAGCTACACCTGCTGTCGTAATTATACGCAAATGTCAAAGAGCTTGGCATTCAACATAACAGCACATCCCTGGTGTGAGCCTCCGCCAAGTCACAGAGATTTTGCTAGCGCTCAGACCTTGGAGAGCTCATCCTACGTGACGTGCAGAGTGATCCACAGCAAAACCAATCAAACCTGCAGAGATTCCAGGGCCCCCATTCTCCTCCCCAAATCCCTGGGGATTAGTCTGCTCTCCAAACGCTAACCAAAGCGCAGCCCAACTTCCAGTATCGACAGAACCTACAGACCACAGAGCTCCCTGCAATGGGTCCGCAGGGGTGCTGAGGCGTTTGCTTGAACAGAGCCAGCTAAAATTCTCTTCATTTCCAGGCCCCAAACCCGACTGTGTAAGACACTTGTTGGCCTGGAAACCTGTAACTGCACGTTCTGTGTGAGTCTCAGACCATGAAATTGATGACTAACCCTGTCCATCAAAGTCAAACACACATCCCTAAACAGGAACAATGTCATCCTGTTGGACCCAATCAGAAGAAACAACCTCTGACCTTTAACATTGACCTTTTAACCCTGCTAATGCATCTGAATCCAAACCTAGGATCCTAACAAATTTTATATGTTTTGCTAATAAAAGTTTTCATAAAAACTTTCTTGTATTTCCACAGGACTTTTATTCTGGGCTGCTTAAAAATACTAGTAGTCCTATGTTCATTCTACCACAACTGAAAAGCACAGACATTCCAGAAAAAGCATGACACGGAGTCAAAGCTGCTTTGTGTATCCTCACAATTGTAACCCTCCTACAGTCTCAACCCAAATTCTTTCTTCCCAAGACTCTGTTCCCAAGATACACCTTTAACATTTCATCGATCACCAGTCAACGAAGCAAACCTTAGCCTAGGTGAACTTTAAAACAACAATCTTATTTCAGAGTTCTGATTATTTGTCAGAGTACCCAAACTTTGGAGGTAGACTTCTTAAATTCAGTATGAATTTACTGACTGGCTGGTATGTATCCAGGTAGGGCCACAGACAGTGTCTGGCACTTAACAAGTGTGACGCTTGAGTCTTGGACAATTGGCTAAGTTTGGACAAACAGACAGGAAAGAGGAGGACAGTCCAGAGATGGACAGAGTCAGGGAAAGCGTAGAAACAGAGTCTGATGGGAGCAAAGGTCATGTGACAGCACAGAGTGGGAAATAAGACTGTGATGGAGAGGCAGGGTGAACTAAGAGCTTGTTAAGGGTCTAGGTAGGTTTCTAACTGCATCAAAAGGCCATCAGAGGCTTTGCCTACCATGGGCTTTCAGAAGGCCATGCCCAGGAGTCATACAAGTTTGAGACACAAAGAGCAAACCCCTCAGTAAATATCAGAAAGCTACATTTGTTGTACCGTGGAGTAAAGCTTAAAAGACAAACAGAGATTTGAATTCTCAAACGTTTCATTTACATTAACTGAAGTAAAAGTCACCAGTTTACAGTGATAACAACATCGAGTTAAATAACAATATACAGAAAGTTTGGGGTTTAAAAAAATGCATACCTTAGCATGATGTAAATCTACCCCGTACATGGACAATTTTTTGGCATTTTCCAAGAAATGCATCTCTGCTTCTGCTGGCGTCATTCCTCTGATGAGAAGAAAAATACGTTACAATGATGCTTTTCCCTTCCCTGGTAGGCTGCAATACTTCCCACTTAGCTCCATGCTATCTCATAAGAAGTCCTATGGAGGCACCAGCAGACACATGAGAAAAGAAGAAGAAGAAAAAGGGCTTTGCAAGAAAGCACTACAAATGAACACCTGGATGCTCCGAGTGAGAGCTTACCCATCTCAGAATTTTACTGCGCATGGACCCACACTACGCTCAACTCTCGCCGTTAATGGACGAAATCAGTACTGTGAAGAGGTGGGTTGTATGCGGGACACTCCCCCATCAAGGCACAACTTAAATGAATGCGCTCAGGGCTTCTGCCTCTAACCTGTGGCTCTTGTGCAGCTCGATCACTTTGTCTTCCAGTTCTTTAGTGTGGTTTGGTGCAAAGCGGAACTCACTAATGTAATCGCTCCCACATTCATCCGGGTCATAGTCTCCGAGCTCTGACTGGACAGTGTAGGAGCCCAGCAAGGCCAGAGTAACGAAGGAGCAGGGCAGCCTTCCGGACACGATGTCATCTCGCAACTGCAAGCAGAGGTAGTACCTTCCAGAAACCGAACGCACAAGACAATAAAGGCCAGCATGAGGATACAGGAAAAGGAGGTCACTTGGTAAAAACTGTGGGTAAATAATTTCTCCCTGTAGAACAACCTCTCTAGGATAAATTTTCTAGCATCTATATATTTTGATATTTCCTTCATACATATTTGTTCTAGATAGAAGGGAAAGATACTTGGTTACAAAAGACAGTATTTAAAGGCATTTAGAAGCAAGTCAATGTTCATAATAGGGTTTTATTAATAAAGCAAGTCTAAAAGAACCTTAAAGACATATTCTTCTAACATCTTTTAAAATAACTTTTAAAGTCAAATGAACAGTCCCCAACACATTTTCTGAAATCCTTGGGTGGGGGAATTATAATGTAAAAATGCTCTTAAATACAGTTATGTGCCACAAAATGATGCTGCGGTCAATGATGGATCACATATATGATGGTGGTCTTAGGAGACAAAAATGGAGCTAAAAAATTCCTATTGCTTAGTGATGTCATAGCTATCTTAATGTCATAGCATAACACATTACTCACGCATTTGTGGTGGTGCTGGTGTAAACAAACGTACTCATATAAAAGACTAGCACATACAATCACGTGCAGAACTTAATACTTGATAAGGATAACAAGTGACTATGTTACTAGTTTATGTATTCACTATGCTATACTTTTTATCATTATTTTACAGTGTACTCTTTCTACCTGTAAAAATACAAAGTTAACTGTAAAACAGCCTCTGGCAGGTGCTTCAGGAGGTATCAGAAGAAGGCACTGTTATCCTAGGAGATGACAGCTTCATGTGTGTTATTGTCCCTGAAGACCTTCCAGTGGGACAGGATGTGTAGGTGGAGACAGTGATACTGATGATCTTGACCCTGGGTAGGCCTAGGCTAATAATATATGTGTTTATGTCTTAAGTTTTTAACAAAAGAGTTTTAAAAGTAAAAACAAATTATAAATTTTAAAAATAGAAAAAAACTCACAGAATAAGGATATAAAGAAAGAAAATATTTTTGTGTAGCTGTACAATGTGTGTTTGAAGCTAAGTACTACTACAAAAGTCAATTAAAAAGTTTAAAAAGTAAAAAAAATACAGTAAGCTAAGGTTAATTTATTATTGAAGAAAGAAATTTTTAAAAATAAATTTAACGTGGCCTAAGTATACAGTGTTTATAAAGCCCACAGTAGTGTACAGTAATGTCCTGGGCCTTCCCATTCACTCATCACTCACTCACTCACTCACTCAGAGCAGCTTCCAGTCCTGCACACTCCATTCATGGTAAGTGGCCTATACAGGTGTACCATTAAAAAAAATCTTTTATATTGTATTTTTCTTATATGCTTTCCATGATTAGATATACAAATACTTGCCATTGTGTTATGATTTCCCACAGTATTCAGTACAGACACATGCTGTACAGGTTTCTAGACTAGGAGCAATGGGCTTTATCATAGAGCCCAGATGAATAGTAGGCTCTACCAGTTAGCTCTGTGCAAGTCCACTCTAGGATGTTCACACAACAACAAAATCATCTAAAGATGCCTTTCTCAGCAGGTGTCCCCCATTGTTAAGTGATATGATTGTGTGATTATTAGGCCCCAATTAGCCTTATGGAAGTATTTTGATATTAAGGTGACCGGTCTTACTATATGAACAAAACAGATTGCAGGTAACTCAACAGCTATCTCATTACAAACTTCACTCTCAATTTCCTGCATTCTTAATGAGGTAGTCTCTTTATAATAACACAATTTCTCCTGTTTTCAGTTCTCATTTTTAAAATTTATATAGCTTCTTAAAATCTATCTAAGATATAAAGATTTCCTACCTTAAAATTCGAGAATCTTGTCACCATAAACAAACAGTTTTAAACTGGAGAAATTAACATTTTCCATATAATTTTGCCATATCCTAAAAATATGACCTACATAAAAACATGTTGATTTGTCTTCTCTGTTATTTTGCTTTTAAGACTTACAGATAAATTACTAACTGCCAAAGACCTCAAGGTAAGTGTTAACGTTGATGAGTTTTAATAATATCAAGCACAGCCTCACATATGGACAGAACAAAGCACACCTGGTACCTTGTATATAAGAATGAACTGTTCATCTATGGAAGCAGAGGACTATGATAAAGTCTTAAGGTCCCCTCTAAATATGATTTTAGGCTGGTGACATAAATCCATGTAATTATGACAGAAAAATCCTTAAACATTTAACAGGCTCTACAAGTATTACATGAGTCAACAGAAAGAAACCATGCACTATTTTCTCTCTCTCTTTTTTTTTTTTTTGGAGATGGAGTCTCACCCTGTCACCCAGGCTGGAGTGCAGTGGCACAATCTCAGCTGACTGCAAGTTCCGCCTCCCAGGTTCACGCCATTCTCCTGCCTCAGCCTCCCAAGTAGCTGAGAATTCAGGCACCCATCACCATGCCCGGCTAATTTTTTTTGTATTTTTAGTGGAGATGGGGTTTCACCGTCTTAGCCAGGATGGTGCTGGGATTACAGGCGTGAGCCATCACACCCGGCCCACCATGCACTACGTTTTCAAATCCAGGTATATATGGGCTCTATAACCACAAATTAGCCAAAATAAAACAGTTCTTCAACAGCAACTAAAAAGTATCTTTAAGTAAGAAATTATAAATTTTCTCTGATTTATTGCAAATATAAGAAATCCTCTGGAACTAATTTTTACCCTTCTCTTAATATGTCTGGTGAAATTATTTTTAACTGTAGCAAGTGATTGAAGTTGTTTTGAGTAATTTCCCTTTTCTGTAAAGCCCTCCAAAAAGAATGCAAAGCTTACACAGAAAATTCTGCACACACTGCACAAAATTGCTTTGACTGGTCATAAACTTACTACTGAGCTGAGCAAGAGAGTAGGAGTTCTAAGGTGAATGCAGAGAAGCCTAGAAGGTCAGAGCATACGAGGAACAATGAACTGAGTCCGTGTGCCCTCCCCTCCAAATCCATACGTTCGAATCCTACCCTCAAGATGATGGGATCATAAGGTGGGGGTCTCTGGGAAGTGATTAGGGTGGAGCCCTCATGAATGGGATTAGTGCTTTTATAAAAAAGACTGGAGAGAGACCCCCCTCACCCTTTCAACACATGAGGACACAGTAAGAAGTCAGCATCCTACAACCCAGAAGCGGATCCTCACCAGGACCTGACCTGCGGGCACCCTGATCTCAAACTTCCAGTCTCCAGAACGGTGAGAAATAAGTTTCTATTGTTTATCAACCACCCACTTTATAGTATTTTGTTATAGCAGCCCAGATTAAGACATCCAGTACAGCTTTATAATGAGATCCCCTTTCACACTCAAAGCTGTTACTGAAATATTTTTGTTTTGATTTCTTTCTTAATATCTTCTTTCTAGAAAACAAATTAATCATTTTCCTTGTATACGCAGGACATAGAAAGTAAACACTTAAATTTATGTGTGTGTGTATGTGTTGGTTATATAAAAAGCACAAGCATCCAAGGACATTTTTACTCTACGTATTAAAGCAGAAAAACTAAGAGCTGCTATATCATATAAGGCTGAATCCCATCCAATTTGACTATGGTGGGTGGATGACAGTATCTCAATTCTGCATGTTTTCCCACCAGGGTCAAGCAGAGGGAATATCATCCTGGCACCAAAGATTCAACTGTGAAAAGACAGGATTTGGCAAATCTTCTCATCAGATGTTTGCTCTTGTTCATTTGCCTTTTGTTTGCCATTTCAGTGTGGACGATTGTAAGGCTACCAGATGTAAGCACACTCCTTTCCGGAGCATTGAAGAGAAGCACAACTCTCCCAGGACGCTTGTCTTTTGAATAGCCTTTCAAATACCTGGTGATATCTTCAGATAGCTGGGCAGGGTCTGGTGGGTAAAATTTCACATTAAATGAAAAGTGCCAAGCACCACCTGCAACGATGGAAAAAAATTAGAGTAAAACCTCGAGAAAAATCTTATGACTCTAATTGATGGCCAGAACAGCCTTAACTCCAAGCATTAACACCAAGGCAACTTTTGACCATTAATGGAAAACTGGGAAACCTCGGTGATACGAAATCTACAGATAAGTCTGAAACCTCGTCTAATTTCTAAACTTCTCCCCAATCAAATCCTTTATTGGTACTTTTTTTTTTTTTTTTTTTTTTGAGACGGAGTCTCGCTCTGTCGCCTATTGGTACTTTTAACTAGTAAGGAAACTGATCAAACTTCCTACCTTTTTCAGAATCAAAGGTAAGCACTTGGAAGAAGGAAAAAACATGAATGATACGAATAATCTTCAATCAGGTAAGTCTGGGAGTGGCTGGATTTATTGCTGCGAATGTCTGGATAGCTCACAGACCAACATTACAAACATAATTCCCATTTTCTTTGTCCTTTCTGCTTTGTTATTACAGGTCAAATCCAATTATAATAAACGTCAAGGGACTATTCAACATACGTTTGTTTTATGGGAAAGGTTTGTTGCAGTGAACAGTGTGCTAGTAAGTGGGCTGCTCTGTGGGCTGTTGAAAATTATTTTCTTGCTCAGGGAAATTTTTGATGCAATAGGTACTTGAATGTATTTTCTGCACATTGCCAAATTTTGCACCTGAACCTCCATAGCCTGATACTTAGCCGGATCCTCTTTATGCTTTGTGATCTTTATCCTGTGGCCTCTACTCAAGGCCTCTCCAGCACTGAAAAGGGTCAACCAGGAGTCAGCTCACAAGCGTCTACTCTCTGTATTGTCAACACATATCCTTGAAACATTATGAAGCCTTAACGAAGCTCCACATCTCATTAATACTATCTCTATTTGTATATGGTTTATCAATATAAACACGGAAAATACCCTTTTCTTTTTTTCTACATTTACTATGTGATCATTACTTTAACTTGTAGTCACTCTGTTCTTCTGGCCTGTAAATGCAGTAACTTACCAAAGTCTGGGTATCCCTTCTCTGTGGTGCTGTTTATATTTGTTCCCTCTACCCAAGAAGTACACTAAAAGTGCCATAGCCTAGGTCCTGCTTGTATTTTGAATGGTTTCCTGAAAAACTCCTCCCAATCCCCCAGGCTTCCACCCTGGAGATCTTTCATCCATGCCTCACCCAGTGGCCACTGACTTGCCCTTACTCTAGGATTCTGTGACTTCACATTCCACCCCTTATGCTTCCAATACTCTCCTAAGACTTCCGAATCTCCCTGTCTCTCCATTAAATGACTTCTGGAAACTTCATTGCTCCATGAGCCCTTCCCAAACATTCAAAAGAAGGTACAGTACTGTATTTCCTAGATCCTTTCTCTGCATTGTTCTCTTGCATCTGAGGCAATATTTAGCTTCATCAGTTTCTTACATTCTGTCATAAATGGCATAGATCCATGTATTACTTATATAGTTAATTCTTAACACTACCATTGACATCACATTTAGGATTCTACATGGCAGGAACTCTACCTGATGCCCTATAGAGGTGCCCTATAAAGGATTTAGCATAGGACCAGGCATTATCGGGAACTTAATATCATTTTTAAACCATTCAAATACATCTGTCAGCCGAAAACATTTCAGTGAATGTTTTTCCCACTGTTCTCAAAAAAGTCCTTTTGTTTTTCCAAAAATAGTCTGATTTGGTTGTATTTTCTTATTGATTCCTACTCACTTCCTATTAAAATAGATCCCTTCAATGCTTGCCAGTGGTAAGGTTCATAACGAGAGCTGGCTTTCCCCCAAGCAAGTAGAATTAAAACTAATGGATTAGTTATGGGAAATGCATTTATTGCTCTTTTATAATTTTTATTCACTTCAACACAGGCCCTGAATCCAATGATTAGTTTAGCAATGTAATTACACAATCTTAGAATAAATATCCAAGTTAGACACTAATAAGTAACAAAATATACAGAAAAGACATTTAGTGCCAAAATCCTCATTCTAGGAAAGCAAGTTTCAACCTACAGTGAGCCAAAGAAATACCTGAGGTACCCATTAAAAATGCCAATTCCCAGGCTTCCTCCCAGGAATTTTTATTTCAGAGATTTGGAATATGGCCTAGGAATTTATGGCTTCAGTAAGCTCCCTTACGGTTCTAATAATAAAAATGGTCTTTGGAAACACATTTTGAAAATCACTGCTACTACTAAGGAATCCACTTCCCTAAGGTTATAACACACAAAAAATACACCTTTCAGGACAGTATTTTGAAACGATGGGAAAGTGTACAGAAACTATAATACCTCAATCAAGGAAAAACAAAAAGTCCAGTTAAATGGGCATAAAACTGGAAATTAATGAGAGAGGCAGATTAAAGCTCAAATACATATCCCCATAAAGAATGTGACAGAAACAAATCCACTGAGAAGGAAGTGCTTATGCAATAAATAAGTTTGCAACTCTATATCTGCTCAAATGAGGGCCCTAGTTAGAAAGAGGAAATGAAACAGCTTGAACACATTAAAATGAATATTTCTATAATGCTGATGTGGAATTTTAAGTTACAAATGTGTGATAAATAGAAAATTGTAACACTGATGATAGTTCATTCTTAAGAAAAATTTCTAATGTTAGTCTTTTATGTCAGACAAATCTTAAAATTTCTAACATACTGTATTTTTGTCATAAAAGTATGATATGTGCTCTATGTTATAAAATTACTGTATCATAAAACATACTTAAAGATCACAAAATATAGTCTATTTAGACATTTTAAGATCCAGCATGCATAAAAGATGACTGGAATAAGAATTTTTTTTCATAAGAACTCTTCAGTTTCAAAATTTCCTGTTTCTTAGAAGCAGGGTCTCACTCTGACACCCAGAATGGAGTGCAGGGGCACAATCACAGCTCACTGCAGCCTTGAACTCCTGGGCTCAAGTAATCCAACCCCCTCAACCTCCCCAGTAGCCAGGACTAACTAATTACAGGCACGTGTCTCTGCACTCAGCTAATTAAAACAATTTTTTAAAAAACATAGAGACAGGGTCTCACTATGTTGCCCAGGCTTGTCTTGAACTTCTGGCCTCAAGTGATCCTCCCGTCTTGGCCTCCCAAAGAACTGGGATTATAGGCATGAAGTTTTAGAATTTTCTATTTATCATAAATTTGGACTTAAGATATTTGTTAGCTTTGTTTCCATTTTCTTAGAGATCTCATTCTAAAGGAATACTGTAAGCCCACAGCATAAAAAGCATGGAAACATCCTTTTATCATTTATATTTTAGAAGTAGAGATGATGGTACAATAATTACATTAGATAAGGTAATACTTCTCTGCCTTCGTTGAATGTAAAATTTTGTGGCAAGAGGGCATTTTAGTGGATGGGAAACAACAAAGAATACAGGTAAAAATACAGAATTCTATTTTTAAAGAAATTCCAATTTTCCTTGTCTCTTTTATCTGTAAGACTGTCAGTTTTCTTTATGGCAAAGTCATATACACTGCCTAATCTGCATGGTAAAAAAATCCGTTAAAACTCTTGTTTTGATTATCTTGTCCCTTTAGCTTTCTTCTCTTTGAAAGGATGGTAGAAGACAGTATAAATGGGAAGTTAAAGAAAAAATGAATCCTATTAATAATAAAAAAGAAAATTAGTTTATACAGCCTTTCTCCTGTCATGATATTATGACTTATCCTTGAACATTTTATATATTGTCAAAGTGCTTTGCAATTATTAATCAGCTCAATAGTCCATTAATTAGATGAATAAGAGAACTTCATGCACACAAAATGTTTGATATATATTCAGCATGTCTACTTGAATAACTCTTTAATATTCCTTAGAAAAATATTTACCTTAATTTTTTTCTTAGGATTCCTCAGAACAAAAAATAAGTAGTGTTTTCATCTATTTATCACAACTACAGCTATCTCTGGTTTCCATCTCAATTAACTGTTTCTATTAACCTAATTTGTTATCAAGTTTCTGGTTAGTGGATACATCAAATTTCCCTCAAACATACGGAAAAGATGTCTTAATTGTATAAATAATCAGTGGACTTTCTTATATCTGGAAGTATGGTTATACTTTTGTCTTTCTCGGATATTATCTAGTATTGAACCATTTCCAAACTGTTCACTACTAATTATGTTTTATTAGTAGTTGGGGTATTATTTCGATAGCTCAGGACTTTCAAAGGCACTAAGAAGTATTTGCTTGCTCTTTTAATAGTAAACTGTTGAAAACTTTTACTTATTGAAATGGGAATGATGTTCTTATTAATAAACTGCTCTTAAATGTATTCTTTAACTAGAATTAGTTGTTTGGAAGAATTTAGACTTTACTGACAAAAATATGAATAAAAATACAGTTATTTTAAGTTAGTATCCATGTTTGCGGCAAAAGTAAGAGCTATAGCAAAGGGTAAAAAATTTTAAAAACTCCTCCTCCTCAACCCCTACATTGGATGATATACTTCTGGAGTAATTACCAATAAAATCTTCCTGCCTTCCAAAAGTTTTCCATGCATCTATACAGATATAATTTTTTAAAAACAAATGTGATTGTGCGATAGAAAATATTCTGCAAACTAATTTTCACTAAGGAGAGCTAATATGTATTTATATGGCTATTCCATGATTGACTTAATAATTTCTTTATACATGGATAATTAAGGTGCTTTTAGTTTTCTCCTACCGTAAATAGTAAGATAGTGAACCTTCATTTGCTATACAAATGCACATTTTCCTCATTAATACATATGCTGAATAAATTTCCACAAGTGAAATTAAGGGTCAAAGAGTAAGTACAGCTTAAATTTTAATAAATATTGACAAACTGCCCTCTGAAATGATTGAACCAACTTATTCTACCAATTGAGTAAATAAGTGCTATAGTTTATTATTAAACCCTAATTCTTTGGTCATCTGAATAGGTGAAAAATGATGTGTCATTTTAATTTGCATTTAATTATTAGTAAAATTTAGCAACTTGTTTAATACTTATTAGCTACTTGTATTTTGAATTTGTCACTTGCTCATGCAATTGTTTGGTCCATTAAAATATGTATTTTTCAAATTGCCTTCAGGGGACTAGGAAAAGAGGCTGTTACCAGACAGTAACCTTCAGTTTGACTTGTTATTCCTTTTCAAAGCTATGAAATGATTATGACTTTTATCTGGCCTTTCATACTTCTGTGACTGTTGGAACATTAATAATGCAGTTTGGAACTTTTAAATGGTTAATTGCCAATTCTAATATCAGTTGATTAAATCATATACTTGACATCTATTCACAGGCAGAGAAACAGGCCAAGCATCGCAGTCCCTTTGACTCCCAAGTTGTGACAACTACAAAATGAATACTATCGGCATTGCCAGATCAAATTTGACACAAGAAAAGCTGGTATTCACACTAGCCACTTAGGTATGGGCTACAAATTCCGACAACTTGCTCTCTGAAAACCTTCACATTTCCAAAAAAATAATCCAAAGGAACTTACTTCGAACCTGTTTTTTTATTTCCTTAGCAGGGTCCAACCAATTCTGAAAAGGAAATGACATTTTGAATTTGAATCAGAGGAGAATAAAAATGACTTAATGTTGATTAGGTACAGACTCTCCCTAAACGCAATGAGAAGTCAGTGGTTGTTGGAAGGCTTCCCTCACTGTGGTCCTTGCCCCACATCTGGTGCCCCTCTGCCAAGCCCTCCAAAGGCCCAGGCACTGGTCTAATGAGAAAATGCACATGTATGAAGTTTGGGCCCGACAAAAGTCTTTTTCTTTTATAACCATTGCCTTCAGGGATTCAAGCTAGCACAGAAACGGAGGGGAAAAGGCAGAAGATTCTATGTTCAAACAAGTTACTAGGATAAATTAAAAAATATACTGGATATACTGACGTCCTAGCTATTCAGTTCCACATCAGAGACTTCTGTAATAAAAGATCCTCAGGCATCCACCTAGGAAGCTTCCCTAACAAATCAACAGTTGCTTGTGATTTCTGATTTTTCTCACTGGTAAAATCAGATGTTTAATAATGAAGTTAGGCATTGTCTGGAGAATTCGGGAGGTATTAAGGATGATTTATGGCACAACACCAAAACTAGAAACAACTATGAGCAAAATTTCTGACTCAGCTTCCAGTGTGAATGCAATGGAAACGATTTACTTTTCTGTATTTCTCAGGTAGTTACGTGGATTAAGGAGATACAGCCCTGAACAAAGTCTATAGAGATACTGCATTAAACATAAAACATGTACTAAACACATTAGATAAGTGTCAGGTAAGCACACAATCCCCCTCATATTCTGATTTAAGAAACAATATGAAAGCATAAAAAGATGAATGAAAAATAGGGCAGCAGCAATAGTGGACTGCCCTGACAATTTATGGGTTACAACCATAATATCTTCATAGAATTTTGGGGTATGAGCATGATTTTTACATAAATATCAATTTATTTGCATTAGTTCAAATAATCTACTGAAATATATTACCCGCCACCCCCCGCAAAAGGTACCGCATAAAATGCCTTCCAGGAACCACAAATAACTCAAGCATGAAAAACAAGGGTTCATTTACTGTTACCAGAATATTCCAGATTAAAGGAAGCTGTCAGTGATTTCCTTCATCAAGGAATAGATGATTAACATTTACAGACTCAAAGTAGAAAGTGTGGGAGTATGAAGGGAGGTGGAGAAAGTGATCCACCCATTCAGTCTCAGTTCACTTTCTGGCAGTAATGAGCAGTTCAAGCCCTCTTATTTTGCATTGCTTTTGATCACTCACCTTCTGGTTTTCAGCATCTCGATACGTAAGCCCAAAGTAGTCTTTCTCTAGCAAGTTCAAGTGTTCACACACTTTATCAAACAGCACTTGTCCTCTGGAGCGTTTCTACAGGAAACAGAAAAGCAAAGCAAGTCAATAGAACACAAAGAAAGTTCTCCCAAACGTCAGAGATAAAACCAGGTAATATTTAAAACATTGCTTGGTGTAACTTTAGGGAGTGACCAACAAGTGTGGTCACTTTGCCATTTCCTGTTAAGTGCAAAAAAGGCTAAAAAATGGGGGTTGGGGGGTAGGAGGAGGCTTCAATCTACAAAAGCCCACCCCTACGAATAAACAAACAAAAGCAAAGTATCAACAGTGCTACTTAGTACGTACAGGTGACCAGTGTCTGATTTCTAAATAGAAGCAACTGGGGAAAATAATGTGATGCTTGGAAGCCTAAATATGTGAAATATAAAAATCCTGATAGTGAAATAGTATCTAACAAACCAACAAAAGCCATAATGCAGAGTGCCCTAACTCAATTATCTAGATCAGGAGTCCTCAACCCCTGGGTTGTGGATGGGTACTGGTCCACGGTCTGTTAGGAACAGGGCTGCACAGCAAGAGGTGGGTGGCGGGCGAGCAAGCATTACCACCTGAGCCCTGCCTCCTGTCAGATCAGTGGCAGAATTTGATTCTCATAGGAGTGCGAACCCTATTGTGAACCGTGCATGCAAGATCTAGGTTGCGTGCTCCTTACGAGAATCTAATGCCTGATGATCTGAGGTGAATCAGTTTCATCCCAAAACCATCCTCCACCCCAGTCCATGGAAAAAAATGATCTTCCATGAAACTGGTCCCTGGTGCCAAAAAGGTGGGGGACCGCAGCTCTATGAGATAAACTTCTGAGCCTGAGAAGAATTAACCTTGCTCCTGGTCTTAGGCAGACTCTCACTTAAAACTTTCTATCCCAAATCCTTACTTAGAAATTCTAAGGACCACTTTCTAAAATCCATTAAACAAATTTCATTATTTTTGTTTTGTTTTTCTTTTGTCACCAATTTCAGTTTGTACAGAGTTTTTCTCAATGTTTTTAGAGGAAATCCTTATTAAACATAACAAAATGTTAAGTTTAAAGTATACTTGAGTTATCATAGATAAATACAAAATAGAGATATATGAGTTATATTTCTGACCATCAAGCAGGCATCTGGAGAAAAAGGTAGTCATTTGGAAAAAAAAATTCATCGGCTTAATTTATTGTGACATATCATTTTTTCATCTAATCGTTCAAAGGCCTTTAAACATAGTCATGAAGTCTGTGATGAATTAACTGGCAACAAATAAACTAAACCAGTTTTTTATTAGTGCACTACTAACATTTTACATCTAATACATTAAGCATATTTGTCTTTGAGATTTAATGTAATACCAATGAGAAATATGAAAATTGATCAACTATGTCTATGCCAAAATAATAAGCATTCAAAAGACCTGTGAGTCGTGTGTTGTGTTACTGTGCAGCTGTAATTATGCTGAAAGCAATTACTCAGTCCCCCTCAAGCATGACTATATAGGAGAAAAGGCAAATGTATGATAGAAAAGTAGGCCTAAATCATAGCTAGCTAAATAATCAGTGATGTATTTGGAAAAAACAGTTCCATAAAGTATTATGAAAATAAATTACTTGTTAGCAAAACTATATAATAACATTGCTCATCGGCTATGAATAACTATTACAACAATGAAGCCCCTGCTTGCTGGTTTAAATCATTTATTTATAAATAAAAGCATATTATTTCTCAATAATCCTTCACCAATTATAAAGTTTTCACAAAAATTGGTTCTTCTGATGCTTCTATTGGTATGATCTGCTGTTCACAGATAAGCACAGAGGTTCAAAGCAGTTGGATGAGACAGACAGTCTTATGTGATGATCTGGGAAGTGATTTTAGAATCAGGTAAACCCGGGCTTGAATCTTCAGGATGTCCCTTGCAGCTATGTAAAATGGGTATGACACTACTTGCTTCTTTGGGATGGATGACATTAAAATCAAATAATGTATTCAAACGTGGTCTAGTGGTGGCATATTTATTAAGCATTCCATAGATGTCAGCCATTATTATAGCCTGGTGGCTGACAAACGGTAGAATAACTAAAGTAGAGCAGATTATTACGCATGTTTTCTATAGGAGCACATATCCAACTCCTGGTGGCGCCAATAAGCAGCTTTATAATTAACATGTCCCACTCTTTAGATATCAAATGCCTACTTACTACCTAATCGCTTTAGCTTGACCCTTTTTTTTTTTTTTTTTTTTTAACCTGCATACACACAACATAGAAAAATATATATCAGTCTCTGGCCAAATACTTTCTCAATGAGTAAACAAAAACCAAAACAAATGCAAACACAAAAACTTTTCTCCACAAGGCTTCACAGGACCCTATGTCTCCTATATTCTCTGACCCAAGAGACCGCAGCCAGTTCTCAACGGAGGAATCATTTCTGAATATGCTGCAGGCTGCCCTGGTCATAGTTACAATTCGCCACTTTCTGGCTGCTGTGTTCTTTCCTTTGCCTAACAAGAGACATGGGTTAGCTCAAGCACAGACTGTTAATGCTACCTGGCTCTCACTTGTCTAGTTCCTTGCAATTTGATTTCTATTAATGAGTCCCACCTTTCTCCTAAATAGACCAGACCTTTTCTTACTGAATATTTTAAACACATTTTAAACACTAGTTTTAAAGACAATGACATACTAGTCCACACTGGAGATTTTTTTTTCCCTAGCCCTTAGAGCTGAGACCAGTTGTCTGATATCAACTGTAGATGGTTACATCATGGGATGGAAGCAATGAAATTCTGACCTGCTAAACATAAGCATGGCCACCAGCCAGCTGGGTGACTCTGGTAAAGGCTTTTAAGTTATTTGGGTCTCCATTTTCTCATCCTTGAGTGGGGATGTAAGATTCTACTGGGCAAGACGTTTATGGGCTTGAGGCTCTTACTGGGCTTCCTTTTGCAAACCACTAATGGATTGAGGCACTCTCTCCCATAGCACCCAGATCGGGCATCAGCATCCTTCTACACATCATGATGAGAAAGATGCTGCCAATGGATGGAGGTGGGACATGACATGAAACTTATTTTCCAGCCCTGGACTGGATCACTTCTCTCCCAACTCTAAAAGTTTCTTGATTCTTCTAACCCAGATGATTTTTTTTTCTAGCATATTATTCAACTTTCCAAGTCAACTAATTCTACTTGTTGATATCTGCATGTACCTGCAGGTAATAATGTTTATCATATGACTAAATCTCAACCATCAATCAGACTGGAAATTTTGGAGAAATTATGTTTGTTATGGTTCCAAAGACATGTTGTTCATTAAGTAATCAAATCTAGGTATCTTACTATCATTGGGTGTGGTTACATGCTACCCTATGAGTCAAGAACGGAGTAATTAAAAAAAAAAAAAAAAGATAGAGGTATTCTAAACTAATGGATAATTTACCTAATCAGAAAAGATTGAGATTTTAGTTTTACAGTTCTTTGTGAGTGGTTAAATCATCTCTGACTCAAAAGCATTCAGTCTGTGTATAGTATTCAATATGATATCATCCCCAAAATGTGATTTTACTTTCCTAGAGTAACAAACCAATGGTAGCTTGCCCTCTTCTTAAAATTTCCCCTGACAAACTGCATTTCTGTTTCTGATAAGGTAAACGGACATACTGCAGTCCAACAATCAGGAAAGCTTTAAATGAAATATCCTAAAAATGGCATATCTCCAAATAACAAGTTTCATAACTTTTTACACTTTTTCTTTAAATAAAAAATTTTCCAAATTGATTATTGAAATTGTTGGGTGTTAGGAGATGTTTGTCAAAAGAGAACTTAAAGAGAATGAAAAGGTAAGCCAGAGACTGGCTGAAAATATTTGCAAAACACATATCTGATAAAGAACTGGTACCCAAGATATACAAAGAACTCTTAAAACACAATACGAAAACAACCCAATTTAAAAATGGGCAAAATATCTGAACTGACACCTTACCAAAAATATACAGAGAGCACATAAGCATATGAAAAGATGTTCCACATTCAATGTCATTAGAGAACTGCAAATTCAGACAGCAGTGAGATAGCTCCACATGTATGTTAGAATGGCTAAAATCCAGAATAATAAAAATACCAAGCGCTGGTGAGGATGTGGAGCCACAGAAACTCTTCCTCATTGCTGACAAGAGTGCGAAATGGTAGAGCTGCTCTGGAAGACAGTTTGGCAGTTTCTTACAAAACTAAACCTATCCTTGCAGTATTCAACAATCATGCTCCTTGGTATCTACCCAAATGAGTTGAAAACTCATGTCCATTCAAAAACTTGCACACGAATGCTTATAACAGCTTTATTCATAATTGCCAAAACTTGGAAGCAACCGAGAAGTCCTTCTTTATGTGAATGAAGACACAAACTGTGGTGCATCCAGATAATGGAATAATGTTCACTGATAAAACAATGAGCTATCAAGATATTAAAGAACCTTAAATGCATACTGCTAGGTGAAAGAAGTTCATCTGAAATGAATGCATACTGTATGATTCCAACTACAGTATTCTCCCGCTATCTATGGGATTTTATGTTCCAAGGCCCCGAGTGGATGCCTAAAACCACAGGTAGTACTGAATGCTACATATTCTGTTTCTTCCTATACATATATACTTTTGATAAAGTTTAATTTATAAAATAGGCACAGTAAAAGATTAACAATAACTGATAGTAAGATAAATTACAAACTAAACTGTAATAAAAGTTATGCGAGTGTGGTCTCTATCTCTCCTTCAAAATATCTTATTGTACTGAACTCACCTGCTTTCAGACAGTGACTGTGGGTAAGTGAAACTGTGGAAAACGGTATGGGGAAGTGAGATGCAGATAATGGGTGGGGGGGGGGGACTATTGTACATATCATCCTGGAAAAGGCAAAACTAAGGGAAAAAGGCAAAACTAAAGGCAAAAAGACCAATGGTTGCCAAGGGTTTGGGGGTAGGGAGGGATGAACAGGTGGCTAACAGCGGATATGGGGGATAGTGAAACGGTCCATTATCTGTATGAT